ACCTTGAAAAGCACTGGAGTGGAGAATTCTCATATCCACTAAGTGAATTTTTTTTCTATCACTGCTGTGAGCGTGACAGTCCATCATACAGTAGTTCAGAACACAATAAGGAAACGGGTGGTTTTCTAAGTAAAACCACGACCTCATATGTGCTTCTGGCAAAACAGAGAAGTGTTTTCATTCCCGGGGAGAAGGGGCATTCTATACTCGTAGCCTTCCTGGCAGGAGTTCGAAAGGGAAGAAAAAAGGTTATTCTCGCGCCTTTCCGTTTCCTTAATTTCCATGGAACGCCCGCTACGCAGGCTACCGCACTCATAATATTTGATATACTAGCTGATTAAAATCCTACGAGGCTTTCTGGTCATTTTCCTATATTTGATTTGGATTTCTTTGTGCTCAAGTCTTTTTTGGGAATTATGAGGCAATCGAGTGAAAATTTGCAATTTTGTCCCTAAAGCCCCGGAGTCATGTTAGAATTTTAATGTATCGAAAGTGGACTGGGTGTGGTGGCGTGGCCTTGGCTTTACTTAAGAAGAAACAAAAAGCAAACTGCGGCGATAAACATGAGGAAATGGATTAATTTACAACCTACCAAAAATGAAAATGTAAGCAGTGAAAAACAGTTTACCTTCTTTAGATGGCATGCTTTTTCCTTTTTTATGCAAACTTTGCTACCATATCAAATCTTTTCTTTCTTTAGGTAGTTACTTATTCTACATTTATATTTCTGTTGTTATTCAATGGTTTAATCACTTCTGAAGATGTGTGTTGAAACATAATATAAGAAACGTCAAGGTAAAGTCAATTCTCAGTTCCAGAAATGCGTTTATATTTCCTTTTGTTTATCACCGCAGTTTGCTTATTGTTTCTTCTTAAGCTAAGATGGTCAAAAAACAAAAGCTTAAGTATCTACGATTTAGGCTTTCAGACTTGACCCATGAAGGAGACCATACTCCAACACAGTCTGGCAACATTTTGTTTGTTTGTTATTATACATCAATATAGCTATTTCTTTACTCAAAACCCTAACGATTGCCTCTATATGTAAAAATATAGGCTATTTTCGTCCTATCAGATTGACCGAAAATAAGACCAACCGAAAGTCTGCAAATTATACCCATAATCGAGAGTGCGAGCTTCTCTGTCAATTTGCGAGCGGTTGATGTCAAGCGATAAAGTCAATCGCGAGTGATAAAGTCAGTGTCGCGAGTCGACTAAGAGAGCCTTGTTTTATATGGGGGCTACCCTTTTTAATGATTGTATATGATTATATATAATTAATTTTATCCCAGTTTCGTGTATAGTTTTATCCCGGTTTCGAATATAGATTATAATTTACAGAACCCATGTACATAGCAGTTTTATAACTGAAATGGCCACACTGTTAAAATATGTTATTAACATTATTATTAAGCGGACCGTCGGAGAGGCCAAAAAGAAGTGGAAAGATCTCTTAGCCAAAGCTTGAATAGGACAATTGCACGATGACGACATTTGACTACAACTACCAGAATTCAATTCGGTTTTGCTTTGTTATTTAAATTTGTCAATCCCGCTGAGGATTAAGGAACAATAGCCTTAATTTGCACAAGAAAACAACAAACTCAAGGATTCTGGTAGTTGTAGTAAAATGACGTCATCGTGCAATTGTCCTATTGAAGATGCTAGAGCACAGAAACGACATTCCACAGAAGGGGTCCTTTAGCCAAAGGTCTCATTATAATTAAAGCGAATACTGCACTTTTCTGGATATCTATGACAGTGTCTCTGCATCGTCAGCATCGTGGTGGGAAAAACGAACGCAGCTTAAAACAACCTTATTCTCAGGGCTTTTAAGGCCTTGGGACGAGGTTGAGTTTTTAATGAGGCTTGTTCCAGAACCGTTGTTTGCATCTGTGTCGAATAAAAGAGAACAGCCACGATACTTTGAGATATTTTGCGTGCCGAGGGTAAACGAACACCTTCTGACCAGCTCAAAACACCTACCCCCTAAATTTTTACTTAATAACAATCAACGGTCAAAGCTCGAAAATTTAATCATCAACCGTCAAAGCTATGACCACCCGATGGACACCCTCTTGAAACCCATTATAACCCCGGCCAAACACTATGGGGCAGTACACACTTGGTGTCCGAGCACAAGTGCCTGGGTTCCAGCACACAATGGCTTTGGGTCCACATCTTGGGTGCCAGACGCAACTTGAAACAAGTCGAGCTTTGCAGCTGGTACAAAGCCCTAGATTCCCCCCGGAAGTAACAAAAAAGGTGTGCACATAGATACCCGGTGCCATCTTTAGTATCCAATCACAAGGTCGTGACCTTGTACAAGGGTACTGCACCGGTACCGTCGAATGTGGGGTGCCGGTCAGAGCTAGTAAATGGGTGTGTTTACATTAGTGTTCAGGGAGCAACGTACTCGGGCCACCTTGCCAGAGCTATCCGAAAAGAAAACGGAGGCAGTCGTGGACTCGGAAAATTAAAATCACTAACTTTCTAAAGCACTTTACCTGCACTTTACAGGTATCTCGAAGAACCGTCTTTTTTTCTGTTCTTTAGTTCCGGCAAGTTTAAAAAACCAAGCGTTCGCATCAGTTTCTCCAGCCGGGTGTAAGAACGGGATGGAGGGACTCAATAGGCCTCCTTTACAGCTGGCCATTCAAGCAGTAGAAAACCGCCATGCTGGAGAGCAAAAGTCACACTGGGAAAAGACAATCAAAGGTAATTACTATTTACATTAATGTATGCCTTTTGTTTGTCTTGTCCCAGTGCGACTCTTCAGTGCTCTCCAGTACGGCGGCATTGTACGACATGAATGGATAGCTGCAAAGGGCCTACTCCCCAATTTCCCTTTCGCTTACATACAATGCCTGCCATCTACCAAAAACCGGTCTCAAGCGTCTGGGAGCGCTTTCTTTTACAGTCAAGACATCATGGACGATTAGTTTCCTGCGCACCCCTCTGCGAAGATCAGTAGTGCCTTGTATGAGTATAAGGGGTGCACTGACACCACTGCTGGTTGGGAAGTCCTATATGTGAAAATGGCGGAGATGATTGTTGGCAGAGTAACACCTCCCAATATACTTTGGGCTTCTCTCCATCTTGCTCGATCTCATCTCTTAAAGGTACAATTGCCAAAATAGAGCAACACCAGGACTCCTGGCGAGAGTGGTTTTACTTAAAAGTACGATAACATCGACAATTTCTTTCTTCTATATCGTCACTGACAGCCCGAAGAGCCACATTCATTGGTCAAACTATTAGCATTCCATAACAGGTCCTGAACACGGCAGAATGACACCAGAGTGTTCCACCGACCCTCTCTCCCTCCCAACCGATTTTGGCTCGTCGTGCAACGCCTTTCCCTTTTCCTTGGGTGAAGCATTATGTGATGAGACAAAAAACGACTGCGTTGAGAGACTTAACTATCGGCACTGACGAAGACAACGAGCATCCCTGCCACTTTTCCATGAGAATCCCCAATATGAAATTTATGGTCATTTTCAGGGGTTTTCTAGGGATGAAAAACGAGGGTGAATCTTAATGACGTTTACTGGGTCCGATCAGAATATTTTACGAATCGAGAGATTTCCTAAGAGATCCAGGAGTAAAACGTAGGCAAGCCCTGTATGTTTTAGGTGTCCTAGTATTCATGAAAATGTTAATATCAACATCAAGAAAACAAATTAATTTAATTTTTCATTGTCATTATTGTTTTTACTACTTTATTCTTATTATCATTATTATTATTTCCCTGATTTTTATTATTCTTGTTATAATTATTATTTAACGGACACAACAAAGAACTTTGTGCTATTTTGCACTTCTACAAGGTTTCTTATGAAAACTCTTTTTCACAAGAAAGGTTTTAAGATAGCCTCGTTTTGAAAGTGCGAGTTTTTGGAATTCGGAAGGGCCTTTTCGCCCCATGTAAGGGAAATCAATCTGGATTTCGGAATCCGGAAGTTTCTGCTTGAGTAATCTGGATTTCTGCCCTTTGGAATCCGCAAAACAGCTCAAAGAATCCGGAATCCCATTATAAATTGGAATATACTATTCGAGTCTTTTGCACTTGACAAAACAAAATCATTTTTTCTTAATAATTATCCTTCAACAATCCCTGGCATCCCATGTACCGGTAACTTACTTCTTAGTCAAAAATAATTCCATGGGGCGAATATTATACAATTTTCACAAGGATCTTTAGTTTTAATAGACTATTTTTGATTCCATATAATCAAGAGGGCGGAAGGAAAAATTAAAATACACTATTTGGAAACTCTTTTTCACTTTAGAAAATAAGAAAAACTTTTACTACGTTATTTTCCTTCAGCAACGTCTGGCACGAAACGAAAAACTTAAAGCCAATTCATCCTGTTATGTACCAATTGTTTATTAAAAAAAACAAAGGCAATCATGGCAAAGAAAATAATGAGAAACTAGTATGTTGCTCATTGCTAAACATATTTTCCTCTTCTGTTCCATTACAGAAATTCTATGGAAAATAACGTGAAGAAAACGCATGCTAATGTTACACTTTAAGACACAGACGGTAAACTTTTAGATGGTTCAGGTTTTTCTGTCTGTAGGTCTAAATGACATACTGTGTCGAACTAGTTACTGTTCCCCAATAAATATCTTTTATTCACACAACAGAGTTCTAATTTAAACTATCAAGACTTTATAAGTGCAATGAAACAGCTCGAACAATCTTACTAGCAAAATCCGAGAAAATCAACCAACGACGTCACTTATCATAACTAAACAATGTTACAAATAATACGGGATCTGTGATTTTTTGGCTGAATAAACTGGGCACGGTCATTACTCCTGTTAGCCAGCAGCTGCTGGGCATCCAAAACACGCTGCACATCACCTAATACGCGGTACGTACCCGCGACGTCAACATGGTCGGGTCCAAGCTTATTCAGTTGTACGGACAGGGCACGTTCATAATACTCCTTGGCCTGTTGATGCTCACCCAAGTTCTTATGTAGGTTACCCATGTTATAGTACATCCTCGCGACGTCAACATGGTCGGGTCCAAGCTTATTCAATTGTATGGACAAGGCACGTTCATAATACTCCTTGGCCTGTTGATGCTCACCTATGTTCATATGTAGGTTACCCATGTTTTGGTACGTACTCGTGACGTAAACATGGTCGGGTCCAAGCTTATTCAATTGTATGGACAAAGCACGTTTATGATACTCCTTGGCCTGTTGATGCTCACCGAAGTCGTGATGTAGGTTACCCATGTCATGGTACGTACTCGCGACGTCAACATGGTCGGGTCCAAGCTTATTCAATCGTACGGACAAGGCACGTTCATAATACTCCTTGGCCTGTTGATGGTCACCCAAGTCCTTATGTAGGTTACCCATGTTATGGTACTTAGGCGCGACGTCAACATGGTCGGGTCCAAGCTTATTCAATTGTATGGCCAAGGCACGTTCATAATACTCCTTGGCCTGTTGATGGTCACCCAAGTCCTTATGTAGGTTACCCATGTTATGGTACGTCCTTGCGACGTCAACATGGTCGGGTCCAAGCTTATTCAGTTGTATGGACAAGGCACGTTCATAATACTCCTTGGCCTGTTGATGGTCACCCAAGTCCTTATGTAGGTTACCCATGGTATGGTATGTCCTTGCGACGTCAGCATGGTGGGGTCCAAGCTGTTGTATGGACAGGGCACGTTCATAATACTCCTTGGCCCGTTGATGCTCACCCAAGTCGTGATGTAGGGTACCCATGTTATGGTACGTCCTTGCGACGTCAACATGGTCGAGTCCAAGCTTATTCAATTGTATGGACAGGGCACGTTCATAATACTCCTTGGCCTGTTGATGTTCACCCAAGGTCTTATGTAGGTTACCCATGTTATGGTACGTACTCGCGACGTTAACATGGTCGGGTCCAAGCTTATTCAAATCAATGGACAAGGCACGTTCATAATACTCCTTGGCTTGTTGATGGTCACCCAAGTTCTTATGCAGGTTACCCATGTTATAGTACATCCTCGCGACGTCAACATGGTCGGGTCCAAGCTTATTCAATTGTATGGACAAGGCACGTTCATAATACTCCTTGGCCTGTTGATGCTCACCTATGTTCATATGTAGGTTACCCATGTTTTGGTACGTACTCGCGACGTAAACATGGTCGGGTCCAAGCTTATTCAATTGTATGGACAAAGCACGTTTACGATACTCCTTGGCCTGTTGATGCTCACCGAAGTCGTGATGTAGGTTACCCATGTCATGGTACGTACTCGCGACGTCAACATGCTCGGGTCCAAGCTTATTCAATCGTATGGACAAGGCACGTTCATAATACTCCTTGGCCTGTTGATGGTCACCCAAGTCCTTATGTAGGTTACCCATGTTATGGTACGTCCTTGCGACGTCAACATGGTCGGGTCCAAGCTTATTCAGTTGTATGGACAAGGCACGTTCATAATACTCCTTAGCCTGTTGATGGTCACCCAAGTCCTTATGTAGGTTACCCATGGTATGGTATGTCCTTGCGACGTCAGCATGGTCGGGTCCAAGCTGTTGTATGGACAGGGCACGTTCATAATACTCCTTGGCGCGTTGATGCTCACCCAAGTCGTGATGTAGGGTACCCATGTTATGGTACGTCCTTGCGACGTCAACGTGGTCGAGTCCAAGCTTATTCAATTGTATGGACAGGGCACGTTCATAATACTCCTTGGCCTGTTGATGTTCACCCAAGGTCTTATGTAGGTTACCCATGTTATGGTACGTACTCGCGACGTTAACATGGTCGGGTCCAAGCTTATTCAAATCAATGGACAAGGCACGTTCATAATACTCCTTGGCCTGTTGATGGTCACCCAAGTTCTTATGTAGGTTACCCATGTTATAGTACATCCTCTCGACGTCAACATGGTCGGGTCCAAGCTTATTCAATTGTATGGACAAGGCACGTTCATAATACTCCTTGGCCTGTTGATGCTCACCTATGTTCATATGTAGGTTACCCATGTTTTGGTACGTACTCGCGACGTAAACATGGTCGGGTCCAAGCTTATTCAATTGTATGGACAAAGCACGTTTATGATACTCCTTGGCCTGTTGATGCTCACCGAAGTCGTGATGTAGGTTACCCATGTCATGGTACGTACTCGCGACGTCAACATGGTCGGGTCCAAGCTTATTCAATCGTACGGACAAGGCACGTTCATAATACTCCTTGGCCTGTTGATGGTCACCCAAGTCCTTATGTAGGTTACCCATGTTATGGTACTTAGGCGCGACGTCAACATGGTCGGGTCCAAGCTTATTCAATTGTATGGCCAAGGCACGTTCATAATACTCCTTGGCCTGTTGATGGTCACCCAAGTCCTGATGTAGGTTACCCATGTTATAGTACATCCTCGCGACGTCAACATGGTCGGGTCCAAGCTTATTCAATTGTATGGACAAGGCACGTTCATAATACTCCTTGGCCTGTTGATGGTCACCCAAGTCCTTATGTAGGTTACCCATGTTATGGTACGTCCTTGCGACGTCAACATGGTCGGGTCCAAGCTTATTCAGTTGTATGGACAAGGCACGTTCATAATACTCCTTGGCCTGTTGATGGTCACCCAAGTCCTTATGTAGGTTACCCATGGTATGGTATGTCCTTGCGACGTCAGCATGGTGGGGTCCAAGCTGTTGTATGGACAGGGCACGTTCATAATACTCCTTGGCCCGTTGATGCTCACCCAAGTCGTGATGTAGGGTACCCATGTTATGGTACGTCCTTGCGACGTCAACATGGTCGAGTCCAAGCTTATTCAATTGTATGGACAGGGCACGTTCATAATACTCCTTGGCCTGTTGATGTTCACCCAAGGTCTTATGTAGGTTACCCATGTTATGGTACGTACTCGCGACGTTAACATGGTCGGGTCCAAGCTTATTCAAATCAATGGACAAGGCACGTTCATAATACTCCTTGGCCTGTTGATGGTCACCCAAGTTCTTATGTAGGTTACCCATGTTATAGTACATCCTCGCGACGTCAACATGGTCGGGTCCAAGCTTATTCAATTGTATGGACACGGCACGTTCATAATACTCCTTGGCCTGTTGATGCTCACCTATGTTCATATGTAGGTTACCCATGTTTTGGTACGTACTCGCGACGTAAACATGGTCGGGTCCAAGCTTATTCAATGGTATGGACAAAGCACGTTTATGATACTCCTTGGCCTGTTGATGCTCACCGAAGTCGTGATGTAGGTTACCCATGTCATGGTACGTACTCGCGACGTCAACATGGTCGGGTCCAAGCTTATTCAATCGTATGGACAAGGCACGTTCATAATACTCCTTGGCCTGTTGATGGTCACCCAAGTCCTTATGTAGGTTACCCATGTTATGGTACTTAGGCGCGACGTCAACATGGTCGGGTCCAAGCTCATTCAATTGTATGGCCAAGGCACGTTCATAATACTCCTTGGCCTGTTGATGTTCACCCAAGGTCTTATGTAGGTTACCCATGTTATAGTACGTACTCGCGACGTCAACATGGTCGGGTCCAAGCTTATTTAGTTGTACTGACAGGGCACGTTCATAATACCCGTTGGCCTGTTGATGGTCACCCAAGTCCTTATGTAGGTTTCACATGACATGGTACGTCCTCAAGACGTCAACATGGTCGGATCCCAGCTTATTCAATTGTATGGCCAAGGCACGTTCATAATACTCCTTGGCCTGTTGATGTTCACCCAAGGTCGTATGTAGGTTACCCATGTTATAGTACGTACTCGCGACGTCAACATGGTCCGGTCCAAGCTTATTTAGTTGTACTGACAGGGCACGTTCATAATACTCCTTGGCCTGTTGATGGTCACCCAAGTCCTTATGTAGGTTACACATGTCATGGTACGTCCTCAAGACGTCAACATGGTCGGGTCCCAGCTTAGTCAATTGTATGGCCAAGGCACGTTCATAATACTCCTTGGCCTGTTGATGCTCACCCAAATCGTGATGTAGGGTACCCATGTTATGGTACGTACTCGCGACGTCAACATGGTCGGGTCCAAGCTTATTCAATTCAATTGACAAGGCACGTTCATAAAACCCCTTGGCCTGTTGATGGTCACCCATGTTGTGATATGTAGAAGCCATGTTACGGATAATTTCCGCCTCTTCTAAGTGATCAGGCACTGTCTTGTTTTTTTTGTGTTCGCTGAGTTTTAAAGCTACATTGAAGTAGTCCAATTCTGATAGGTACTCACCATGGCGATAGCAAACATAACCAAGCACGTGAAAGTCATGCACAGTTATACAAAAATCTTCAAAAGTGGGTTTGATAAATTTCTCTGTACTAAAGGAAACCTTTTTAATTTCGGCAGCTAGAGTTTTCAAGTGTGGAACAATATGCCTACTTACAGACACAGAATCAGCACTTTGCAGGATCTTTGGTATTGCTTCGTTTATATATTTACTAAATGACTCCACCGCAACACAAACAACTCGGACCTGTTCATCAGCTTGCATTTGTTCTTTTACTAAACTCTTGACAATATTGTGTACTACGTTATGCAAACGAATGTTGACATCATCGTCTTTGTCGATTAACAGCAAGGAGGAACCTTGGATCTGAATGCCTATTTGCTCTTCATCCGACTCTCCATCAGCATTTACAACGTAAGTTGTCAACAAGTGTAGTTTGACTGGCTCTGGTGCACAAAGAGCAAGGAAGGTAAAAGCATGCTTCATTATTCTATTAGAATCAATTTCTGCTTTAACGGCTATCCTAGTCGCTTCTGTCATAGACTCCGGGTAGATATTGTTTACTTTGGTAAGTTCTTCTTCAGTACGTTCACGCTTTCCTTTTTCTAGTTTTTGTAAGTACTCCTCCCAGCCAAAGTCTAGATTGGTATTACGTACCTTTCTCACGTACACTCCCGCACTGGCTAGTGCAAGTGGCTGGTAATCCAAAACGTGTGCTACCTTTTTTCCCATACCATCGTCTGTGATTCCAGTGAGCTCGAATAGAAGGTTGGCAACGTCAGTGTAAATCATGCCTTCGCTTATAGAAAGGTGAGATGTGATTGGACTCTCAGGTGGGATACAGGAGCAATCCTGCGTTGTGATAAGCAGCTGGCCTTTGCCCCACTGCTCATTCCCACGCTCAGGAAAAAACTGACCCATTCTTGCGAGATTTGTGACGTTGTCAATCACCAAGAGCCAAAATGAGTATAGGTGAATTTTTGTCGCAATTAAATCTTTGATAATGGCTATTTTCTGTTCAGCATTTAAATCCTTGGAGTTTTCAGTGGACGTTATAGTGTACGCGGGACAGCTTACCTTTCTTGCCAGTGAAAAGTATGATTCTAAAAGCGATTCTAAGTTTTCAGCATTTAAAGTCATAACAAATGAAGGAGCACTCGTGTCTTTTCGGGCTTCTTTGTAGAAATTCTCAGCAACCAGTCCAGCCAGCTGGGATTTGCCACTTCCGAGATTGCCTGAAATATAACAAAAGCTTAAACTGTTCACGTTAGCCTTCCTTAAGGTAGTGAGCTTCTGTGACACTCTAGCAACGTCAGAGTCGCGACTTGCGATCATATGGGGAGGTCTGGGTGGAAGGACGCAAAATGGCTCCACCTCGCGCTGAAGTTGCTCTTCAAAGACCTTGCGCTGTTCTTCTGTAGTTTTTAACCTGTCTTTGTTCTCTTGAAGCTCTGCTTCCTTCTCTTGAAGTTCGGTATGCCTTTCAAGTAACTTGCCTTTTTTTTCCTGAAGTTCAACATCTTTCTGCAAAAGCTCTGTTGTTTTCTTCTCTAATTCAATAGCTTTGTCTTGAAGTTCCGTATTTTTGGTCTGAAGGTCTTGAGTAAGTTTCTGATTGCTTGTCTTCACATTTTGCAACTCATCGGTTGGAAAACTTTTCTGCTTACTTACAGTTTGGATGTCATCAGTAGACAGGCCAAGGGCTTTAAATGCTGTCTCAACTTTTCCAACAGTGATGCTGAAGTCTATATTTGAGAGCTGACCCTCTGTCATGTGAGCGAAGTCTTTATTTCGAAACTTTCTGAGATCATCAACGTGGGTTCTAATCAGTGGACTTAGTCCATGAATAGAATCAGAGAACAGGATGGCATAAAATAACATAGTGCAGTCCCATTCTGCTCTGTCTCCATTAGCCATCGTAGCTAACAATCGAGCATTTTTTCTTTGATTAGCAGGGGACTCACCGTTTTTGAAGTCCAATCCATTTTGAGGCGTGTCTTTCCATTCTCCCTACGTTGCCTTGTAACGTTCATCCCATTCTTGCTTGAACAGTAGTCGTAAAGCTGGAGGCAATATGCCAGTGGCTATGTGACAAACCCGGAAATAGTTAAGCTGTTCCTCCGAATAAACTTTAGTGGCCATTTGGTAACGAAGGGTAGAACAGTCTTATACCTTTTTAGAGAAAAAAAGAAAAACGTAATTTAAGTACCCCGGAGAGTATAACGGAGATTAGGGTATTCACGGGCGAAGTTATTGCAGGCAAATTATATTATGGTTTTTATTCGGCGAGAAGATCAAACCAGTGTCTGTCGCAAAGTAAAAAAACTCTTTGTTTAAATTTGAATAAGAAATACAACACGAAAACTGGTGATGATAAACATAGGCGTACGGGCCGGGGGGGGGGGGAGGGGGGGCTGCAGCTCCCCCAAATTTTGGGCAACTCAGATTTTTTGGGGCAGCGAGAGAAAATTTGGGCAAAACCAGTTTTTTAAGGCCTTTCCGTGTTTTTCAAATCATTATTTTGAAGAGATAAATATTTTCTATTTTAACCTGAATTTGGTGTAATAATCCAGTACGGTTACATTCATACGAGACAGTGGTTGCCTAGCACGTAATGAGTTTCTGGTTATAAGGGAAGGATTTTTTTTATTGTTGGGCACTGTACTGCAATGAGCTATTTTCAGTCGTGAATTGATTAGAACAAACTTCCGCCTAACTTTCTAGAATCATCTCCGCTTGTAGAACAGTGTATGGCAGATAGTATCAGCAATGGGTCTGGAAGTGAAGAAGTGGCTGAATAATTCTCAGTTTGAATTACGCGAAGAATCGTAATTTTTTTTTTAAAAAAATCTATCGAGTGGTTAAAAAATTATTCCTTTATTTGTTAAAGTAGACCGAAATGTTTACAAAACCGCTAACAAGAGCGCCTTCATACATACTAAATACTCAAATCCTTTTTTGGCGAGAGCTGTCTCCGTGATCTTTTAACAACGTTTTTAAAAAGATTGAAACTACTATGAGGTGAAATTGCATGTCAAAAGCGCTTCGTTTTCTACAGATCACAGCCAAACATCAAGATTTTCCTTTTTTACCGTGTTGCTAACGATAAAGACTTTATCCCAAAATATCTCCGCAACCCTCTTACAGATTCCGTTTTAACTTCACGAACATCGAGGCGACTATTGGAGGAAAATGCGCCCGTTGACGATTTTGGAAGAACAGTTCCCAGTGAGAAATGTTCCTGCAAGTATAATAGGTAATGGCGTCATTTGGTTGCTATGACAACTCCGATGTTATTGCAACCCGGATCATAACAAATTTCATCTTTATCTAATACAACTGTAGTGGCAATTTTTCCAAATGTTTGTTTATGGTATCGTAGTCTATGCTCAAAAAAAACTTCGCGGGTATTGACCTGTATCAAGCCACTTTCATATGCTAGTACGGCCTATGTTGTTGCATCGTATGGCCCTCGTTTCTGTTCGACTGTTTTGCAAAAATTTGGGCAACTTGCAAGAATTATTTGGGCAAATGGTTTACCGCCCCCCTGACAAAAAATTGCCCGTACGCCTATGATGATAAACATAAAAAGCAGTGAAGGACTTTGGATACTTTAACTTTTATTTAACAATGGAGCTGCAAACTGCAAGTGTCTTCAATTAATTAGACTGCCAGCCTTTACCAGGCTCTCGATCATTGCAGAAGAGCGAAAAAGGAGGGCGAGCAGTGGAAAAGCCAAAAACAAAGAAAAAAAGGGGGGGAGGGGTGTGGGTGGTTTTGAGAGAAGCCAGGAGACTAAGCATCTTTTCAAATACCTCATTTGTGGGTCATTTTGTGGCAGTTAATGGTGGATAATATTTAATGTGATTGTTGTTGCATCTAATGACAATGAGTCGTCTCAAGTTACTTTACCAGGCTTTTCGATCTGTGTACCTGTGCCGGTAATTCGAGGTCTTACACGTTTTCTCACTATGGCTGAGGCCATCCTCTTTTTTTTCTTCGTTTCAGCCTGCGTGTCTCCCTCGTGCGCGCCCGTTCTTTTTTGCGCGTCTTTTCTTGCGCCCATTTATTTCCTTGCGTCTGCTACACAGGCTATCTCCGTTTAGCGTCGTCTGACCGACCCAAATTTTTGGCATTTTCAAAACAAAAAGAAAAAAAATAACGACGTAGTTAAACCATTTTTCACTTGAAATATTTTTTTTAATCTGAAAAATAAGCATAGTAACAGCACAGAGAACAAAAGGAACAAAAACATGAACATTTTTTACAGTATATTGTGTATGTTGTTAATCCAAGTATGTGAACGTTAACTTTTAACGTCGTCCTGGGGTACCAGGGCCTCCTATTCCAAGACTTCTTGTGACTTTTTTTAAGTTTTTTTCTTTTTTTTTCCATCCGACCAACCGACGGACCCAATATCAGGAAACGCATTCGACGCTTAACGAAAGAAAAAAAGGGGATGGCCTGAGGTCGCTGAGGTTGAAGACTGCGTGGTCATCATAGACTATGGGGCAATTTTTTATGAAGAGAGCGAAGGAGGCGAACATTATCGCAACAAGAATAAGTTCAGATGTCGGATTTCGAGAATTGAAAAACGCCTTGTAAAGTTAACAAAGAAAATTTGGTAAGTTTGCCTCTCACCAGTGCGGCGTGTGAAACAGTCAAGATAGTTGACCCCTGAGAGACTGACGCGCTAGACTAGACTCACTTATCAAAACTCGCACTAGACGTGCGTGGAAAGGGTTTTGGTTGTTTTGTTTTTTGTTTTTGTTCTCGCCCTTTCAAGATTTATTTTCATTGGAGTTAATTATCTGTTGGGTCGACCTACCAAAGGGTTGAACGAATGTAGTTTACTTTTCAGTGAAAATTTGCGAAAATTTGCGAACTACCAAAATAGTGAAAAAACAGGGACATCTGGTGCATATTTAAAATGCCTGAGATAATTAAACGCGCTGGATGGAAGCAACCATAAGTATGCGGAACCGATTATAAACATGATAAATGTGATTAAAATATGCGGTATCGGTATTTGGACGATTTTCGACGCGGTATTTTGGTATTTGCCATTTTTTCTTACGGTATTGCGGTATTGCACCCCCCAATGTCCCCCTCAGTTATTCATATCAGTTCGTAAAACAGGAAGTCCGCCTTCTGATAAATGTTATGCTATAGAATAAAGCGAAGATTGTCGAAAAGCTCATTAGAGCTTGTTTGATCACCTGCCTTATAATTCGGTGTGTAATAGGTTATGTGTATGAATTTATGGTAAAATAAAGGCACTTATTTCTCCAAAAGTGGTTGTACTTTGGGGAGGAGCCTTCCCGTATAAAACTTGTTGAGTAGCCCCTCGGGGTTAAAAGCTTTCAAGAAAATAAGACTGATTGTTCGCCGTCTAAAGAAAACCAAAGAGACCGTTCTCACGTCATAGAAGTAATATAAGATCACCCTTAGTCTCACTCATACGGCTGAAGCCAGCTGGCTGTAAAGCTTTGTTTTGGATAACAAAGAGCTAAAAGAGTTCAAACGTCCTTCGCAGAGCCCATGGTACCGATGCGATGTAGCGATGAAGATTACGTGCATGCGTATTAATTTTTCTATTTGAATATTATAATACCTACCGATTGTATGCATGAAGTCCTCCTCAAACGAAAGGGACAATGCTGTCGATAAACGATGCACTGTAACGAGCTCAATCGGATCGCTGTTCAGCAAAGTGAATTTTCAACTATTCGCTTTGTTTAGCACTTTTCACTCTTGATTGCTTTCCAACGCATGATCAGGCGATCATGGGATCACGCGATGAAGCCTTAAATTCTTTTGGCGGTTTATCATTTGTTAGTGTCTGCTGTTATATATAATTCACCAATATTTTAAAGTCAACTCTTCGTCTCTTCCAAGTTAAAATAAAGAATGTTCAGTGTTTTGACTTTTGGTCACAGTCTACATTAAAATCACTTTTGTTTATGTTAGAGCTGAAAGTGACCCGTCACACTGCGGTTGAGATATCTCATAGCCTTAGTTACAAAGTGCCCTTTTTACGTAACGCTATATGAGCGTAACAGTTCTAGAGAAAAAGGCCATCATAGTTTAGAACAAAATGAAAACCGACATGGAATTCAAACATTGAGCAAAGGCTTCAGTTTCAGTTTATTGCTTCTGCATATTAAAAAATGTACAAAAATAAGTAGTCTAAAGAAGAAATTCTAAATCGTATTAAAACTGAGGTAGTGACGAGGAACTGCCCGAGGGAAACCATCGGGCTTTTAAGGGATAGGCACCCTCAGTTAATTATTACAAAGAAATATGACGATAATTTTACATGTAAACTTCAATGCAGAGCCACAGTAAATATAATAACATATTAAATAAATGTATTAATCATTAGTTGGGAATTAATAAAGTTAATTAGTCGGTAGTACCGAGCAGGGAGTGGTGGTGACACATCTTAAATTTTGGAATTGGTCCAAAGTCCAGCTTTGTTCTTGCAAGTCAACTACAATATAGAGCTCGCGCAGCATGACCTTGAAAAGCACTGGAGTGGAGAATTCTCATATCCACTAAGTGAATTTTCTTTCTGTCACTGCTGTGAGCGTGACAGTCCATCTGGACATCATACGGTAGTTCAGAACAGAATGAGGAAACGGGTGGTTTTCTAAGTAAAACCACGACCTCATATGTGCTTCTGGCAAAACAGAGAAGTGTTTTCATTCCCGGGGAGAAGGGGCATTCTATACTCGTGGCCTTCCTGGCAGGAATTTGAAAGGGAACAAAAAAGGTTATTCTCGCGCCTTTCCGTTTCCTTTCGAACGCCCGCTACGCAGGCTATCGTACTCGTAATATCCCACATTCGATATACTAGCTGATTAAAATCCTACGAGACTTTCTGGTCATTTTCCTATATTTGGTTTGGTTTTCTTTGTGCTCAAGTCTTTTTTGGGAATCAGGAGGCAATGGAGTGAAAATTTGGAATTTTGTCCTTAAAGCCCCGGAGTCATGTTAGAATTTTAATGCTTCGAAAGTGGACTGGGTGTGGTTGCGTGGCCTTGGCTTTACTTAAGAAGAAACAAAAAGCAAACTGCGGCGATAAACATGAGGAAATGGATTTACAACCTACCAAAAATGAAAATGTAAGCAGTGAAAAACTTTACCTTCTTTAGATGGCATGCTTTTTCTTTTACATGCAAATTTTCCTACCATATCTCATCTTTTGTTTCTTTAGGTGGTTACTTATTTTACTAAATTTCTGTTTTTATTCAATGGTTTATCACCTCTGAAGATGTGTGTTGGAACCTGATATAAGAAACGTTAAGGTAAAGTCATTTCTCAGTTCCAGAAATGCGTTTATATTTCCTTTTGTTTATCACCGCAGTTTGCTTTTTGTTTCTTCTTATTAAAGCTAAGATGGTCAAAAAACAAAAGCTTAAGTATCTACGATTTAGGCTTTCAGACTTGACCCATAAACTGAATGAAGGATACCATATTCCAACACAGTCGGGCAACAATTTGTTTGTTTGTTTTTATACATCAATATAGCTATTTCTTTACTCAAAACCCTAACGACTGCCTTAACATGTAAAAATATAGGCTATTTCCGTCCTATCAGATTGACCGAAAATAAGACCAACCGAAAATCTGCAAATTATACCCATAATCGAGAGTACGAGCTCCTCTGTCAATTTGCGAGCGGTTGATGTCAAGCGATAAAGTCAATCGCGAGTGATAAAGTCAATGTCATGAGTAGACTAAGAGAGCCTTCTCATATGGGGGCTACCTTTTTTTAATGATTGTATATGATTACAGGACCCATATTACATGTAACAGCAGTTTCATAACTGAAATGGTCATCCTGATAAAATATGTTATGACCACTACTATTAAGCGGACCGTTGGAGAAGCAAAAAAGAAGAGGAAAGATCTCTTAACGAAAGCTGGAATTTAAGATGCTAGAGCACAGAAACAACATTCCACAGAAGGGGTCCTTTAGCTACAGGTCTCATTATAATTAAAGCGATATACTACACTTTTCTGGATATCTACGACAGTCTCTGCATCGTCAGCATCGTGGTAGGAAAAACGAACGCAGCTTAAAACAACCTTATTCCCAGGGCTTTTAAGCCCCAGGGACGAGGTTGAGGTTTTAATAAGGCTTGTTCCAGTATCGATGTTTGTGCCTGTGTCGAGTAAGAGAACAGCTGAGCCACAGTACTTTGAGATATTTTGCTTGCCGAGGGTACACGACCACCTTCCGACCAGCTCAAAATACCTACCCCCTAAATTTTTACTTAATAACAATCAACGGTCAAAGCTCTAAAATTTAACCATCAACCGTCAAAGCCATGACCACCTGATGGACACCCTCTTGAAACCCATTATAACCTCGGCCAGACACTCTGGGGCTGTACACACTTGGTGTCCGAGCACAAGTGCCTGGGTTCCAGCACACAATGGCATTGTGTCCACATCTTGGGTACCCGATACTGATAGTTGCTCCCTTTTGCCCTGCCAGACGCCACTTGAAAGAAGTCGAGCTTCGCAGCAAGTACAAAGCACTAGATTCCCCCCGGAAGTAACAAAAACGGTGTGCACATAGACACCATCTTTAGTACCCAATCACAAGGTCGTGACCTTGTACAAGGGCACTGCACCGGCACCGTCGAATGTGGCCGGTGCCGGTCAGAGCTAGAAAATGGGTGTGTTTACATTAGTGTCCAGGGAGCACCGTACTCGGGCCACCTTGCCAGAGCTATCCGAAAAGAAAACGGAGGCAGTCGTGGACTCGGAAAATTAAAAACTGATCTCTAACTTTCTAGAGCACTTGGTTTGACAGGTATCTTGGAGAACCGTCTTTGTTTCTGTTCGTTAGTTCAGGCAAGTTCAAAGCTAGCCTGCGTGCAGACGGTAACTAAACTCTGATTAGTACCAGAGTTTAATTTCGTCTGCGCGCAGGCTAGTCAAGCAAGCGTTCAAGATCATTTTCTCAAGCCGGGTGTTAGAACGGGATGGAGGGACTCATTAGGCCTCCCTTGCAGCTAGCCATTTACGCAGTAGAAAACCGCCATGCTGGAGAGCAAAAGTCACACTGGGAAAAGACAATCAAAGGTAAGTACTATTTACAATAATGTATGCCTTTTGTCTGTCTTGTCGTAGTGCGACTCTTCAGTGCTATCCAGTACGGCGGCATTGTACCACATGAATGGATAGCTGCAACGGGTTTACTCCCCAATTTCCCTTCCGCTTGAAATGCCTGCCATCTAACCAAAAGCGGTCTCAAGCGTCTGGGAGCGCTTTTTTTTACAGTCAAGACATCGTAGACGCTTATTTTCCTGCGCACCCCGCTGCGAAGTACAAGGGTGCACTGACACCACTGCTGGAGGGGCAGTCCTATATGTGAAAATGGCGGAGATGTTTGTTGGCAAAGTAACACCTCCCACTATACTTTGAGCTTGTCTCCATCTTGCTTTAAAGAGGAATTTGTGTTGGAATTTAATGCCACCATGGCTGTTTATTGAACGACGATGAGTAGTAATTATCATATTAAATACAGGACTCCTGGCGAGAGTGGCTTTACTTGAAAGTACGATGACATCGACGCCTTCTTTCTTTTATATCGTCACTGACAGCCCGAAGAGCCACATGGATTGGTCAAACTACTGGCATTCGGTAACAGGTCCTAAACACGGCAAGTGACACCAGAATGTTCCACCGACCCTCTCTCTCTCCCAACCGTTTTTGGCTCGTCATGCAACGCTTTTCCCCCTTTTTCCTTAAAAACAAAAGACAAAAAACGACTGCGTTGGAGACTACTATCGGCGCTGACGAAGACAACAAGTATCCCTGCCACTTTTCCATGAGAATCCCCAATATGAAATTTATGGTCATTTTCAGGGGTTTTCTAGGGCTAAGAAACGAGGGAGAATCTTAATGACTTTTACTGTGTCCGATCAGAATATTTTACGAATCGAGAGATTTCCTAATAGATCCAGGAGTAAAACGTAGGCAAGCCCTGTATGTTTTAGGTCCTAGTATTCATAAAAATGTTAATATCAACATCAAGGAAACAAATTAACTTAATTTTTCATTGTCATTATTGTTTTTACTATTTTATTTTTTTCATGATTTTTATTATCCTTGTTATAATTATTATTTAATGGACAAAACAAAGAACTAAACATTGCTATTTTGCACTTCTACAAGGTTTCTTATGAAAACTCATTTTCAAATGGCCTATTCGCCCCATGTAAGGGAAATCAATCTGGTTTTGGGAATCCGGAAGTTTTTGCTTGACTAATCTGGATTTGCGCCCTTTGGAATCCGCAAAAAACTTCAAAGAATCCGGAATCCCATTATAAATTGGAATATACTATTCGAGTTTTTTGCACCTGACAAAACAAAATCATTTTTTCTTAATAATTATCCTTCAACTATCCCTGGCATCCCATGTACCGGTAACTTACTTCTTAGTCAAAAATAAGACTGTCTTGGATTGACTTCCATGGGGCGAATATTATGCAATATTCACAAAGATCTTTAGTTTTAATAGACTATTTTTGATTCCATATAATCAAGAAGGCGTAAGGAAAAATTGAAATAAACTATTTGGAAACTCTTTTTCACTTAACAAAAATAAAAAATTTTTACTACGTTCTTTTCCTTTAGCAACACCTGGCACAAAACGAAAAACTTAAAGCCGATTCATCCTGTTATGTACCACTTGTTTATTTAAAAAAAGCAATCATGGGAAAGAGAATAATGAGAAACTAGTATGTTACTCATTGATAAACATATTTTCCTTTTCTGTGCCATTATAGAAAATCTATGGAAAATAACGTGAAGAAAATGCATGCTAATGTTACACTTTAAGAGTAGAATAGAATAGAATAGAATAGAAACTTTATTAAAGTGTCAAAAACCGTCTAGCCAGGGAACAAATCCTTTACTAATTTGGGGACACCAATTAGGGGAGAATATACAAACTAAAAACTATATACAGTAGTAGGTAAAATATCTATAGTTAACTAATTAAGAAATTTATAGTAAAAATACACAGAAGTCAAAATGAACAAAGGCTACAGCCTGCGCAGCCATCATCTAAAAGTTCACTTATATTGAGTTGGCGTATCTTTCTTTTAAACGACGTTAGGGTTGTGACGTCCCTGATACTCTTGGGTAGTTTTGTCCATAGCCTAGGCCCTAAATATCTAATAGAGTGCTTGCCATAGGTGACTGTCTCATACCTAGGTATAGAGAAATCTGCTTGCCGCAGATTGTAATTACTATTTGGTTCTTTAAAGATGTTACTTATATATGCAGGGCACAGACGATAAACTTTCAGATGGTTCAGGTTTTTCTATCGCTACTCCTAATTGACATACTGTGTCGAACTAGTTACTGTACCCCAAATAAATATCTTTTATTCACACAACGGAGTTTCAATCTAACTAGCAAGACTTTATAAGTGCAATGAAATAGCTCGAACAATCTTACTAGCAAAATCCGAGAAAATCAATTAACCAACGACGTCACTTATGACAACTAGACAATGTTACAAATATTACAGCATCTGTGATTTTTTGGCTGAATAAACTGGGCACGGTCATTACTCCTATTAGCCAGGAGCCGCTGGGCATCCAAAACACGCTGCACATGACCTAATGCGCGGTACGTACGCGCGACGTCAACATGGTCGGGTCCAAGTTTATTCAGTTGTACAGATAGGGCACGTTCATAATACTCCTTGGCCTGTTGATGCTCACCCATGTTCATATGTAGGTTACCAATGTTTTGGTACGTACTCGCGACGTAAACATGGTCGGGTCCAAGCTTATTCAATAGTATGGACAAGGCACGTTCATAATACTCCTTGGCCTGTTGATGCTCACCCAAGTCCTCATGTAGAATACCCATGTTATGGTACCTACGTGCGACGTTAACATGGTCGGGTCCAAGCTTACTCAATTCAATGGACAAGGCACGTTCATAATACTCCTTGGCCTGTTGATGCTCACCCAAGTCGTGATGTAGGTTACCCAGGTTATGGTACCTACCTGCGACGTCAACATGGTCGGGTCCAAGCTTATTCAATTCAATGGACAAGGCACGTTCATAATACTCCTTGGCCTGTTGATGCTCACCCATGTTCATATGTAGGTTACCCATGTTTTGGTACGTACTCGCGACGTAAACATGGTCGGGACCAAGCTTATTCAATAGTATGGACAAGGCACGTTCATAATACTCCTTGGCCTGTTGATGCTCACCCAAGTTCTTATGTAAGTTACCCATGTTATTGTACCTACGTGCGACGTTAACATGGTCGGGTCCAAGCTTACTCAATTCAATGGACAAGGCACGTTCATAATACTCCTTGGCCTGTTGATGGTCACCCAAGTCGTGATGTAGGTTACCCAGGTTATGGTACCTACCTGCGACGTCAACATGGTCGGGTCCAAGCTTATTCAATTCAATGGACAAGGCACGTTCATAATACTCCTTGGCCTGTTGATGCTCACCCAAATCGTGATGTAGGGTACCCATGTTATGGTACATCCTCGCGACGTCAACATGGTCGGGTCCAAGCTTATTCAATTCAATGGACAAGGCACGTTCATAATACTTCTTGGCCTTTTGATTGTCACCCATGAGGTTATATGTAGAAGCCATGTTACGGATAATTTCCGCCTCTTCTAAGTGATCAGGCACTGTCTTGTTTTTTTTCGTGTTCGCTGAGTTTTAAAGCTTCATTGAAGTAGTCCAAGGCTGATAGGTACTCACCACGGAGATAGCAAACGTAACCAAGCACGTGAAAGTCATGTACGGTTGCACATAAATGTTCAAAAGTGGTTTTGATAAAATCGAACTTGTCGGTACTAAAGGAAACATGTTTAATTTCGGTAGCTAGAGTTTTCACGTGTGGACCAATATGCCTACTTTCAGACACAGAATCTGCACTTTGCAGAATCTTTGGTATTGCTTCGTTTATATACTTACTAAATGACTTCACCGCAACACAAACAACTCGGACATGTTCATCAGCTTGCATTTGTTCTTTTACTAAACTCTTGACAATATTGCGTACTACGTTATGCAAACGAATGTTGACATCATCCTCTTTGTCGATTAACAGCAAGGAGGAACCTTGGATCTGAATGCCTATTTCCTCTTCATCCAACTCTCCATCAGCATTTACAACGTAAGTGGTCAACATCTGTAGCCTTACCGGCTCTGGTGCACAAAGAGCAAGAAAGGTGAAAGCATGCTTCATTATTCTATTAGAATCAATTTCCGCTTTAACGGCTATCCTAGTCGCCTCTGTCATAGAGTCCGGGTAGATATTGTTTACTTTGGTAAGTTCTTCTTCAGTACGTTCACGCTTTCCTTTTTCTAGTTTTTGTAAGTACTCCTCCCAGCCAAAGTCTGGATTTGTGTTACGTACCTTTCTCACGTACACTCCTGCGCTGGCTAGTGTAAGTGGCTGGTAATCCAAAGCGTGTGCTACCTTTTTTCCCATGTCATCATCTGTGATTCCAGTGAGCTCGAATAGAAGGTTGGCAACGTCAGTGTAAATCATACCTTTGCTTATAGAAAGGTGAGATGTGATTGGACTTTCAGGTGGGATACAGGAACAATCCTGCGTTGTGATAAGCAGCTGGCCTTTGCCCCACTGCTCATTCCCACGCTCAGGAAGAAACTGACCCATTCTGGCAAGATTTGTGACATTGTCAATTACCAAGAGCCAAGATGAGTATAGTTGAATTTTTGTCGCAATTAAATCTTTGATAATGGCTATTTTCTGTTTAGTATTTAAATCCTTGGAGTTTTCAGTGGAAGTTATAGTGTACGCGGGACATCTTACTTTTCTCGCCAGTGAAAAGTATGATTCTAAAAGCGATTCTAAGTTTTTAGCATTTAAAGTCATAACAAATGAAGGAGCACTCGTGTCTTTTCGGGCTTCTTTGTAGAAATTCTCAGCAACCAGTCCAGCCAGCTGGGATTTGCCACTCCCGGGATTGCCTGAAACATAACAAAAACTTAGACTGTTCACGTTAGCCTTCCTTAAGGTAGTGAGCTTCTGTGACACTCTATCAACGTCAGAGTCGCGACGTGAGATCACATGGGGAGGTCTCGGTGGAAGGACGCAAAATGGCTCCACCTCACGCTGAAGTTGCTCTTCAAAGACCTTACGCTGTTCTTCCGTAGTTTTTAGCCTGTCCTTGTTCTCTTGAAGTTCTGCACGCTTCTCTTGTAACTTGTCTTTTTCTTCCTGAAGTTCCGCATCTTTCGTCTGAAGGTCTTGAGTGAGGTTCTGATTACTTGCCTTCACATTTTGCAACTCACCGGTTGGGAAACTTTTCTGCTTACTTACAGTTTGGATGTCAGCCGTAGACAGGCTAAGAGCTCGAAATGCTGTCTCAACATTTCCAACGATGATGCTGAAGTCTGCATTTGAGAGCTGACCTTCTTTCATGTGAGCGAAGCCTTCATTTCGGAACTTTCTGAGATTATCAACATTGATCCCGATTAGTGGACTTAGTCCACGTCCGACAGAATCAGAATACAGGATGGCATAAAAGAGCATAGTACAGTCCCATTGCGCCCTGTCTCCATTTATCATCGTCGCTAACAATCGGGCATTTTTTCGTTGATTAGCAGGGGACTCTCCGTTTTTAAAGCCCAGGCCATTTTGAGGCGTGTCCCTCCATTCTCCATATGCTGCCTTGTAACGATTATCCCATTCTTGCTTGAACAGTGATCTCAAAGCTTGGGGCAATATATCAGTGGCTATGTGACAAACCCGGAAGTAGTTAAGCTGTTCTTCCGAGTAAATCTTAGCCGCCATTCGGTTACGGAGGGATAACAGTCTTGAAACCTAGTGTTTAAAAAAACGCAATTTAACTACGCCGACCAGGGTACTCATGGGCAAAACTGCCGGCAAATTATAGTTTCTCGGATTAGGCGAGATGACTAAAGCCTTCAGTTTTGTCGCAAAAGTAAAAAAAATCCAGACAATGCATATTTATATTTTAATAAGAAATACAAAACGCACACTGCGGTAATAAACATAAAAAGATGTAAGGTATTTTTGATATTTTAACTTTAAGCTGCAACTGCAAGACTAATATTCTTAAATTAATTGGACTGCGATTAAAGAAAACATGCCACGCATCTAGCCCGTCTTTCGTGCTTTCGTCCTAAGATCCTTGAAATGTTTAAAAGCTTTCAGCAATTAAAGTTCGGAAAATAAACGCGGCTAATTAAAAAAAGATGGGAAAGAGACGAGAGAACAAAACTGAGACAAGCCGCGTTTGTTTCGACGCTCGGGTGTTAACCCAAGCATGAACTATTATATTAGGACTGCCAGAAGCCCGAGAGAGTAGTCCCTTTACTGGCCGATGCTCCGCCCGAAAGGGGACCATTTTCAAACGTCAGGTATATAAAAGGGTGGGGATTTCACTAGTTAATATATATAAAAGGATAGGGAGATCTCTCATTGCAGCCTGTAAAAAAGGACCTAAATGGGTTTACAGACGCATTTTATGGCTGTGAAAAAGTAAAGAAAATTCATGGTTTAGTGATTTATTCAAAATACAGTGCATTTACAGCGGTTAAAAGAAAGTGATGCAGCGTTTTAAACCAGGAGAAAATGTCTAAACTAGGACTGTGAAACGGGTTCCATTTGTGACTGAATAGAAGGTATACGCTAGGCGTACGTTCTATGTCATAAATGGTACATAAAAGGGTAAGGAGGGTGTCTGTAAAACCAGGAACAGGCCCGGAACACCCCAGAACACCCTCAGGACACTCCGTAATACCCCAGAACACCCCCCTGACTGACTGGACCCCACCGGAACACCCTTAATTACAAAAATTAGGTAAAAATAAAAAAATTACAAAACCCCCCCAAACCCTAAAATATCATCAACGAATCAATAAATATTCATTCACCTGTAACTGGAAAACGGACACTGTGTCAGATTGACGAATTCACCGATACTTAACGACTTCTGAAGATTTTAAGAAAGTAGTTATCTTTATACGAATACTTACTAGCCTTTTTGTCTGAAATATAGCTGAAAGAGCTGCTACTGAAGTCAAGAAAACAAAAATGAAAAAATCTTCTAAACAAACATCTTGCCGATTTGATGTCTACCGTGTTCGAGGAGTATCACTTATAAAAACTGATTCACTCACTTTGATTCTTGTCTTGGTTTCTTTTATTTTGATATTTTGTCTTTGATTAAAAAGAAAAATATACTTGGTTTTAGAGTTTCATTTGATTTTCTAGCCAGTGCTTGTGGTTTTCTTTCAAGTAGTAGATTATATATTGCATGGGGAATTCTTTTTTTGAAGGTATTTCCTGGAAGAGGGGCACTCCCATATTTGGCCTTGACAGTAGTGTTGCCCTGAGCAGGGAATGGGTTTCAGGATTTTGGACCGGAATCCTTCACAAGAATGTGAAGGTTGGATATAAGCAGCCTACATTTGTGATACCAACAATGTTCGACCAAAAAAAATCAAATTCCAAGACGTTAATTTGAAAAATTACTTACTTCTGTATGCGAAACGAAACGATTAGCAGGGTCCTAATATACGGTCTCTCCTCTTAAGCAGGGTCTGGGTTTGAAGGCCTCGGCGGCAAAACTTTACCCAAACTTTCCTTGAGTGCACCCCTCAGGTATTATGTTTTTCTTGAGATTAGTGAGCCTTTGGACTGAAGCGCGACATATGTCCTGTAGTTTCTCCGTTGGAATAAACACTTTTGGTTTCGCGTAACATTTATGCGACTGCTCGGCTGATGGTTGTTGAGGCAGCTTCCTCGGAACACACCCTCTCTGTCTCGTTCGGCCATGATATATGTCTGAGTCTCCCGGCCTTGAGTATTGCTGACCACCCACTACTGAAGCTGTCACGTGGGTAAGATCCATATCTATCTCACTTTGAAAATCAAAAACGCCATTTGAGAAATCAAGCGCGATAAATTTTTGAAATCAAAGATTAGCTGAAAGTCAAAATGTAACACTAAAACAAAAAAGTATTTTTCTTTTTGATCAAAGACAAAATATCAAAATCAAAGAAAACAATACAAGAATCAACACAAGTGAATTTTATAAGTGATACTCCTCGAACACTGTAGACATCAAATTGGGTAGAAGATATTTATATATTAGTAAAAATATTGTAAATCCCTCATTAGCTTGTGAAGAGGGCTCTCTGTTTGGGGAAAGGGTGAAAAAATCGCGAGGAGAGGGAAGGGAAAGGCCCTTCCATGGCTCCCGCTGTGCATCAGATCCTGATATAAGCTCCTATTGGCGAGAACACTGACTGTTGACAGGTTTAATTTACATTGCCTTTTTAGTCGGCATGTAGCACGCGATTTGAATAAACGTTTGTAAACAGGTCTTCTGATCCTTAAGATGGCGTCTTCTGTCGCTTGACTGATGAGCTTATTTAGCCGCAGTGAAGAGCTTTATGTTTCAAAAGAGTTCAAATAAAATGTTCCTGCATCAGGGGCCAAATCACGTTGACCAGAAACAATAATCAATATACACCTATTTCAATTAAGGTTGCTCCCTAGAACCATGTTTCATAGCTGCAGTGCACTATGGTAAACCCTTTTTTAGAGGGAAGTTTAGTCTTGTTCACGTTCATTGAAATAATGGAGATCATTTGTGAAAAGTCGTTCAAGAGAGCTTTCAAGTCAAAAGGCTGCTAAATTATTTAAGAATGAGAGAGCTGAAAAATTTCATTTTTAAAATCTGATGGTAAAAAATTAGAAGCCTCTTCTTATAACATTAAATGAATAGGGTTTTACCGCCTGATTAAGCTGCGTTTTTGCATGGGCCAGAATGCTGGTTATTTCAATAAAGCAAATGAACGCCATTCTTTTTTTATTCAGGTTTAAAAAGAATTGCCTCAAAAATAGATAAACACGTAATTTTAAGTTATTTATTGTTGTTCAACAAACGCCTTGAACTTGATTTTTTTTTACTCCATCCGAAATTCCCACGTGCACAAGCCAAGCAAACTCCTTGAAAATATACAGCATTTGCATATTACTTCAGAAGAAACACCTAACCTCAAATCACTGTCTTAAATCAAAAAGCCTAGGATTCAGTGTTTTGAAATGCATTGTCTTAACGTTCTGCTGACATAGCACAGAAAGGTCAGCAACGTTTGCTTTCTAGGTTTCTAGACTCGTTGGGGGCACATAATTTACTAGACTTGCTTATGCACCGCAAGCTATGAAACATGAATCATGCATTATTCTTCTCTGAGGCAACCTTAACTGAAATAAGTCTATGTGTCACGATCCCACAGTATGAAAAAAACAACAAAAAACACATTTGCTCAGTTAGAACGAAACCCTCCAGAGCATGATCTAACCGCCAGAGAAAAACACTCATTGGAAAAAGCAGCATTTTCGCACGAGGTAAAAGTCATGTGTTGCCTACCTAAATGTTGGTCTATAGGCTCTCCCCCTTTACCTTCCCTCTCCGCTTGTCTTTTTCACCCTTTGCTCAAACAGAGAGCCTGTTCGCAGGATAATCCCTCATGGGCCATCCACTTGGATCTAATCAACTCTTTTCTTTTCTTTTTTAGTTTTTCTTGATTTCATTCAATAAGGGCTCTTTCAGCTATATTTCAGACAAAAAGCTACATGTAGTAAGTATTCGTATAAAGGCAACGGACTACTTTCTTAAATCTTCAGAAGCCGTTAAGTAGCATGTGAAGCATGAATTCGTCAAACTCAGTGACCAGGAGCCAGATCTGACCCAATCTCCGTTTTTCAGTTGCAGATGAAAGATGTTTATCAATTCATTGATGGTATTTTAATGTTTTTTCGTAATTTTTCGTTTTGTAACTTCTTTGCCTAATTTTTGTAATTAAGCGTGTTTCGGGGGGTCCACTTTGTCAGGGGGGTGTTCCGGGGTTTCTGTTCCGGGTTTTACGGACACTGGACACCGGTAAGGGGATATGTATATTAAATTTAGATGAACGAATTGGCAAATATTCTATAGGTTTTAAAGGAGCAATTACATGAACAACCTTCTCTAAGATATAAAAAGCATAAGTTGATATAACATGGTTAAACCAACTGTGTCAAGAAATTTATCAAAATTCAAACAGTGGGGACTGCCAGCAAATTGAGTGAACCATTAAAATAACCGCAATTACAACGTTAAAAGAAGGTATAAACGACATATCAAATAAAAAAGACTGAAGCACGGATCGATGCACAAATTTGAAGAAGAATTTGAAAACTTCTTAACATAACAGTTTTTCAAAGTTCAGTTTTGTTGTTTGTAAAGTTTGATATTGCAGGGGCACCAAATGACTGTTTTCTGTAAATATCTGTTCGGAGAAGCAAATGGTGCCTAGAATTTTCCATTTGTTGAGGACGGCTAATATAAATACTTCTAGATGGGCCATTCCATTCATGTACAATTTTCGAAGCTCATCTCATAAATTCCCTAAGATTTTCTGAAGTTAGGCTATTGTTCATAGGAAATAGGAAACTTGAAATTTTCGGATTCAAAAATGTCATGGAAAGAGGAATCAGAAAAATTCTCTCCCTCGTAATACGTTAAAATGCATCTAAAATTTTCGGGAAAATAGTACTGAATCCCTGGTAATTTCGAAAAGACTCAAGTTCCCCTGGGGTGACCGAACAGATACAAATTTTATAGCGCCGCTTAGAATGCATTTCTAGGAATCTAAAAGTACTCTGGATAGCCTAAAAAGTGTTTTCAATGTATTTAGGAGGAAATCGTCGTTTGTTGCCCCTAATGAAATGCTTGCGAGACATTTGATGGACTCCAAGCAGTGATTTTGCCATTCGAAAGCAATTTCTCTAAAAAAGACGCGCGTGTACCTGGCATCGATAAACAAAACTAAGCCGCGACAAAACCCCTTTAAGAAAAAAGTCAAATTAAGAGTATGTGTTTAAGAAATACTGACTGATACTGAGTTATTCATATCAGTTCGTAAAACAGGAAGTCCGCCTTGTGATAAATGTTATGCTTTAGAATAAAGCGCAGATTGTCGAAAAGCTTATTAGAGCTTGCTTGATCACCTGCTTTAAAATTCGGTACATAATAGGTTATGTGTATGAATTTATGGTAAATAAAGGTACTTATTTCTTCTTAACTGGTTGGACTTTGGGGAGGAGCCTTCCCCTAAAAAAAACATGTAGAGCGGCCCCCCGGGGTCAGAAGCTTTCAAGAAAATAGGACTGAGAGATTGTTCGTTGTCTAAAGAAAACCAAAAGAGACCGTACTCACGAGATGGTAGAAATATAAGATCACCCTTAGCCTCACTCATACGGCTAAAGCTTTGTTTTGGATAACAAAGAGTTCTCTTACTTCAAACTTCCTTCCGCAGCGCAGAGCCCATGGCATCGATGCGATGCAGCGCTGATGATTACATGCATGCGTATTTTAACATTTTAACATTTGAGTATTTTAATACTTACCGATTGTATGTATGAGGTCCTCCTCAACCGAAAAGGAAAATGCTGTCGATAAACGATGCACTGTAACGAAACGAACTCAATCGGATCGGTGTTCAGCAAAATGAATTTTCAACTATTCGCTTCGTTTAGCACTTTTCACTCTTGATTGCCGAAGACTCAGACGTAATTAATACCCATCCAACGCATGATCAGGCGATCATGGGATCAAGCGATGAAGCCTTAAATTTCTTTGGCGGTTAATCATTTGTTAGTGTTATATATAATATATGCTGTTATATATAATTCACCAATATTTTAAAGTCAACTCTTCGTCTCTTCCAAGTTAAAATAATGCATGTTCAGTGTTTTGATGTTTTGTCACAGTCTATATTAATATCACTTTGTGTTTATGTTAGCCGAGCTGAAAGTGACCCGTCTTACAGTTTTGGAATCAGTCCAGCTTTGTCCTTTCAAATCGAGTCCCAGATTTCTCCTCAGCGCAGCGTGACCATTAGAAGCACTGGGGTTGAGATATCTCATTGCCTTACATTACAACGTTCCCTTTTTACGTAACGCTACATATGAGCGTGACAATGCTAGAAAAAAAGGCCATGATAGTTTAGAACAGAATGAAAACCGACATGGAATTCAAACTTTGAGCAAAGGCTTCAGTTTCAGTTTATTGCTTCTGCATATTAAAAGATGTACAAAAATAAGGAGGCTAAAGAAGAAATTCTAAATCGTATTAAAACTGAGGTAGTGATGAGGAACTGCCCGAGGGAAACCATCGGGCTTTTAATGAATGGGCACCCGCAGTTAATTATTACAAAGAAATAGGAACATAATTTTACGTGTAAACTTCAATGCAGAGCTAAAGCAATTATAATAACATATTAATAACTGTATTAATCATTATTTGGGAATTAATACCGAGCAGGGAGTGGTGGTGACACATCTTAAATTTTGGAATTGGTCCAAAGTCCAGCTTTGTTCTTGCAAGTTAACTACAATATAGAGCTCGCGCAGCATGACCTTGAAAAGCACTGGAGTGGAGAATTCTCATATCCACTAAGTGAATTTTCTTTCTGTCACTGCTGTGAGCGTGACAGTCCATCTGGACATCATACGGTAGTTCAGAACAGAATGAGGAAACGGGTGGTTTTCTAAGTAAAACCACGACCTCATATGTGCTTCTGGCAAAACAGAGAAGTGTTTTCATTCCCGGGGAGAAGGGACATTCTATACTCGTGGCCTTCCTGGCAGGAATTTGAAAGGGAAGAAAAAAGGTTATTCTCGCGCCTTTCCGTTTCCTTTCGAACGCCCGCTACGCAGGCTATCGTACTCGTAATATCCCACATTCGATATACTAGCTGATTAAAATCCTACGAGGCTTTCTGGTCATTTTCCTATATTTGGTTTGGTTTTCTTTGTGCTCAAGTCTTTTTTGGGAATTAGGAGGCAATGAAGTGAAAATTTGGAATTTTGTCCTTAAAGCCCCGGAGTCATGTTAGAATTTTAATGCATCGAAAGTGGACTGGGTGTGGTTGCGTGGCCTTGGCTTTACTTAAGAAGAAACAAAAAGCAAACTGCGGCGATAAACATGAGGAAATGGATTTACAACCTACCAAAAATGAAAATGTAAGCAGTGAAAAACTTTACCTTGTTTAGATGGCATGCTTTTTCTTTACATGCAAATTTTCCTACCATATCTCATCTTTTGTTTCTTTTGGTGGTTACTTATTTTACTAAATTTCTGTTTTTTTTTTTTGTTTTTTTTTTAAACAGAGATCTTTATTACCACTACATCACTTACAACACTTTCACTACAAAATTTAAGGTTACAAAAAATTACAATTAAGAATTAAGATTCCAACGATTAATACAACATACACTGCAACCAGGCTTGCTTCGCGCATACGTAGATTAGATTATAATCATTTACAGTCAGGAGAGGAGAGGCTTCCATTGTGAAAGAAATTTTGCTTTTTGTCCTTTGGAATAAAAAATCGATCTTTGCACAATTAACTTGTCTTTAACGAATTCAAGAAAGTGATCAAAGCTTGCGGGTTTAATTTCGGTCCTTTGCAGGAAGATATGTCTCTTGCCAAGAAGGATATAATAGTTAAGGATTTGCCTTTTAGGATCTTCGGGATTATAGCCATACATTATACTTAAGTCATCAAATAGCAAACATTCACCACTGTGAGTTTTCCACCAGCTAATTACTTCAAACCAAAACTTTTGAATTACTATATAGTTAACTAGCATATGGGAGAGCGTTTCTAGGGAATCACAATGTATGCAGAGAGGAGAGTTTACGATTTTCATTCTGTGTAACAGAACCCCGTGTGGAAGAATATTATGAACAATCTTATATTGAAATATGCTTAATTTTGTTTCTTTAGTTATTTTAAATGGGAGCATATAAATAGAACTAAGTTTGGAACTGTCCAATCCTTGCCTGCATAGTCGAAGGCTAGCCAACGGTTCTACAAATTTCCTTTGAATAAGTATATTGCGAACCTTCTTGCTAGTAACCACGTTAATTTCCTTAGTTGTATTTTGTTCCATATCTTGATTGTTCATGATAAATCCCGGTCTCAAAGCGCACTTCCATCTATAAGGTATAGCTGATATTAAACCAAATAACTTAGTAAAAGGCGCCTTGAGGCCAGTTTTTAAAAGAAACTTATTAAGTGTGAGGAATCTGTTTTTTTCATCTAGTAGGTCTTTAATTCTAAGTATACCAGCTTCATGCCATTCTTTCTAATATACTGATTTACCGTCTATTAAAATATGCTTATTATTCCATAAGATTACATTCTCAACACAGATTTCATTGTCCGAAGTTTGCTCTCGGACTTCCGCCCAGGTGTTAAGAACATCAGCGTAGAATATTGGTAAGTTGTTTAGGCCTAGAAATTTTACATCATAATCACAATCAAAAATAAATGGCCCTCCAACATTTTTCAAATAAAATAAAGGAATTAACATCCACTGATCCTCTACACCATTCTTCATTCTTTGAACCCAAGCACTTTGTAACGACTTGGATATAGTCTCAAATTCTGGTAAATCCAGCCCTCCTCTTTCTTTTGGACCTATAAGAGTATCCCTTTTTATCTTTGGTTTCTTGTTATTCCAGACAAAATCTGTAATCAATCTATTAGTGATATCTATATAATGAGGCGGTGTATGTATGCACGAACTTACAAAGATAGGTTTCGATAGCCCTAATGTTTTGGCGATTGTTATCTTGCCATAAAGTGAGAGATCTCTTTGAGACCATATATTAAACAGCTTTTGAATTTTACATATCTTTTTGTGAAAAATTTTCCTGTTCGCAAAGTTTTAGATTGTAAGAGAATGATATCCCTAAGGCGGAGATAGGCCTTTTGGCCACTGAACTCCAAATAGTGTATCAGTCCTATTTGCGTTTTTTCCAAGCCACATTGCTTCAGATTTACTTTGGTTAAGCTTTAAACCGCTGCAATCTTTAAATAGGTCTAATAACTCTAACAGTTTCCCAAGCGACTCTTTATCTTTGCAAAAGGAGGTGGTGTCATCGGCATATTGAGATAATTTTATTTCTTTGTTTAGGACTCGAATTCCCTTTATATGTTCATCAGCTCTTATTGAGCAAGACAGTAATTCTGCGGCTAAAATGAACAACAAGCCAGACAAAGGGCAGCCTTGTCTTACTCCTCTCTTTAAAGTAAATGAATCGGAGACGAAGCCGTTGTTTATTATGCAGCTAGAAATGTTTGTGTACAGAGTTTTCACCCAAGTCTTAAAGTCGGGTCCAAATTGAAAGGTATCTAGAGCTTTAAATAGGTACTCCCATTCTAAACTATCGAATGCTTTTTCAAAATCGATGAATAAAGCAATTCCCTCTATGTCCTGGTCAACGGTGAAATTGAGGATGTCGCTTATAAGTCTGATGTTTTCACCGATAAATCTTCCCTCTACGTAACCAGTTTGTGTGTTATTTATAACTGCCGATAGAACCTTTTTTAGTCTGAGAGCTAAAGCTTTAGAGGCAATCTTATAATCCACATTTAAAAGTGAAATAGGTCTCCAGTTTTTAAGATACAATAAATTTTTGTTCTTTTTTGGAATAAGACGTATGATGCTTTGTCTTTGAGAAATTGACAGCTCACCTTTATGGAATCCATAATTAAAACTGTTTACCATTATCTTGCCTAATTGACTCCAGAAGAAGCTGTAAAATTCGGCAGTAAAACCGTCATTGCCAGGGGATTTGTTTTTTTGGAAACATTTTAAAGCATTCCAGCACTCATTCTCCGTCAGCAAGCCTTCGCAGTTCTTTCTTTGTTCATCATTCAGCTTTTCTACCTTGTCATTATCGAAGAACACTTTGAATTTAGGATCGTTTACTTGAGGATTTTGCGAGGAATATAAGGATTGATAAAATCTTTTTTGTTCTTTTAGGATTTCCTTTGGGTCCGTGATACTGCTTCCGTTTTCTTGTATAAGGCTGGTAATGCATTTATTTTCATAATTTCGTCTCTCAAGATTAAGAAAATATTTCGAACTTCGTTCGCCGAACTCATGCCAACGGGCCTTGGAGCGCACACATGCTCCTCTTGCCCGGTCGTAGGAAATCTTATCCAATTCGTTCTTAACTTTAATGTATCTCTGGACGGCTTCTGCTGATGGGCAGTTTTCACCCATATTTCCCAGTCTTGAGACTTCCTGTACGAGATCTTTTTCATAATCTTTTTTCATTTTAGCTTTTTGTTTTGAATAACTAATTGTGAACGCCCTTATTTCCATTTTAATCAACTCCCATAAGAGTCCGTGATCTTCAAGATCCTGATACTTGTTTATAAAGTGCCGAATTTTAAACATTAATTTTTCTGCATATTCATCATCTTCTAAGAGGGAGGAATTGAATTACCAGAATCCAGGTCCTCTTGGGTATTTCTCATTAATTGGCAATTCCAACGTCACTAAAGAGGATAAGAATCCTGCCGTTTTCACAACAAATTTCATTTTCTACTAGCACTTTGAGTCGAGGATTAAACAGAATTGCTACTCCTTTGCTGTGTTTACTTCCATGACAGAAGTACACTTTACTACCCCACTCGTTACTCCATAATTTTTCTTGGTCAGTAGAACTATGTCTCTTGCAAGAAAATTATTGAGTACTTGTTAACGTGCAGTTGCCGAAAAATAGCTCTTCGTTTTCTTGAACTATTTAAACCCCTAACATTTAACGTAATAAAAATTAACTTATTCATATTAACGAATAAATATCGATATCTTAATAGTTTCACAATACAGAAGCCTTCTTAAGCTAAAGCCTGGAGAAAACATTGCATCACTTACAACATAAAAACGAAAATTACCTTTTATGAAACAAATTAAAGGCATTGCCTGTGAAGTTCTTTTAACTCCAACAATGGGTAGAATGTGAGATTAAAGTTGTTGTTGGTCAGTATCACTCCGACGGCGTTGCTAGGTTAACTCTTTGCCTCTTCCATTTCATGGCGTAGTTTTGCTAGTTCTTCTGTTCCTACGATTCTGTGACGGCCATTGGCATCGACATATTTGAGTATTGCAGGATATGCGATGTAGACTTTCCGGTCGTCTCCGAGTTTCTTCTTTAGAAACTTTCTGTACGGCACGAGCTCTTGCCTCCGCCGTTGGGTTTTTTTGGCGAAATCCTCACTTATACCGATGGCATTTCCGTTTAACGGGTTATCCTTTAGACGAGCGGCGGCATTCCTTAGTACCTTCATCTTATCCGTGTATCGAAGAAAAGCGACGTGCATTGGTCTGGGACCCTTTTCACCAGCAGAAGGCGTTTTGCTTGGCGTGCGGTGTGCCCTCTCCAGCTCAACATGGCCATATAACGTTTCAAGGCCCATATGCTGCGTAATAAAATCCTGTACAAAAGAGATGCAATCTCCTTTTTCGGCTTTCTCTGGTATATTGTAGAAGACTAAGTTGTTCCTTCTTGACCTGTTTTGTAATTCTTCGATTTCATCCTTCAGCGCATCGACAGTGGCGTTATCTGCTTTTGAGTCTAAATCCGTTTTTACCTTCTGCAGTTCTGCTGTCATAGAGTTAAGTCCTCTTTCCATGTCACCTACGGTATTTTCAATCTTCAGCAGTCTTCCGTTTATTTGTTCAAGCACGTCTAGCTTCTTTAGCTTTTCGTGTATGCTTTCCAAGATGGCGGCGCCGGCCTCATGTTTATGTGGTGGCGTTCTTTCATCTTCACTGCTTAAGCATGCCTGTTGTCTCGCTCGCTTTTCGTTGGGCATAACGGAAAGGAAAAGCAAAGATTCTCTGAATAGTTTGAGGCTGATTTGGCTAATTTCCTGAAACTGATATAGTGAAACGGCAAGGCAGCGTCGGAGCGACAAAAAAACACGACTACTCCATTTGGCGCCCAGCCTGAAGATGTATGTTGGAACCTGATATGAGAAACGTCAAGGTAAAGTCATTTCTCAGTTCCAGAAATGCGTTTATATTTCCTTTTGTTTATCACCGCAGTTTGCTTTTTGTTTCTTCTTATTAAAGCTAAGATGGTCAAAAAACAAAAGCTTAAGTATCTACGATTTAGGCTTTCAGACTTGACCCATGAACTGCATGAAGGATACCATACTCCAACACAGTCGGGCAACAATTTGTTTGTTTGTTTTTATACATCAATATAGCTATTTCTTTACTCAAAACCCTAACGACTGCCTTAACATGTAAAAATATAGGCTATTTCCGTCCTATCAGATTGACCGAAAATAAGACCAACCGAAAATCTGCAAATTATACCCATAATCGAGAGTACGAGCTCCTCTGTCAATTTGCGAGTGGTTGATGTCAAGCGATAAAGTCAATCGCGAGTGATAAAGTCAATGTCACGAATAGACTAAGAGAGCCTTCTCATATGGGGGCTACCTTTTTTTAATGATTGTATATGATTACAGGACCCATATTACATGTAACAGCAGTTTCATAACTGAAATGGTCATCCTGATAAAATATGTTATGACCACTACTATTAAGCGGACCGTTGGAGAAGCAAAAAAGAATAGGAAAAATCTCTTAACAAAAGCTGGAATTTAAGATGCTAGAGCACAGAAACAACATTCCACAGAAGGGGTCCTTTAGCCACAGGTCTCATTATAATTAAAGCGATATACTACACTTTTCTGGATATCTACGACAGTCTCTGCATCGTCAGCATCGTGGTAGGAAAAAAGAACGCAGCTTAAAACAACCTTATTCCCAGGGCTTTTAAGCCCCAGCGACGAGGTTGAGGTTTTAATAAGGCTTGTTCCAGTACCGGTGTTTGCGCCTGTGTCGAGTAAGAGAACAGCTGAGCCACAGTACTTTGAGATATGTTGCTTACCGAGGGTAAACGACCACCTTCTGACCAGCTCAAAATATCTACCCCCTAAATTTTTACTTAATAACAATCAACGGTCAAAGCTCTAAAATTTACCCATCAACCGTCAAAGCCATGACCACCTGATGGACACCCTCTTGAAACACATTATAACCTCGGCCAGACACTCTGGGGCTGTACACACTTGGTGTCCGAGTACAAGTGCCTGGGTTCCAGCACACAATGGCATTGTGTCCACATCTTGGGTACCCGATACTGATAGTTGCTCCCTTTTGCCCTGCCAGACGCCACTTGAAAGAAGTCGAGCTTTGCAGCAAGTACAAAGCACTAGATTGCCCCCGGAAGTAACAAAAAAGGTGTGCACATAGATACCCGGTGCCATCTTTAGTACCCAGTCACAAGGTCGTGACCTTGTTCAAGGGCACTGCACCAGCACCGTCGAATGTGGGGTGCCGGTCAGAGCTAGAAAATGGGTGTGTTTACATTAGTGTCCAGGGAGCACCGTACTCGGGCCACCTTGCCAGAGCTATCCGAAAAGAAAACGGAGGCAGTCATGGACTCGGAAAATTAAAAACTGATCCCTAACTTTCTAAAGCACTTGGTTTAACAGGTATCTTGGAGAACCGTCTTTGTTTCTGTTCTTTAGTTGAGGCAAGTTTAAAGCTTGCCTGCGTGCAGACGGTAACTAAACGCTGATTAGTACCAGAGTTTAATTTCGTCTGCGCGCAGGCTAGTTTAAAGCAAACGATCAAGATCAGTTTTTCGAGCCGGGTGTTAGAAAGAGATGGAGGGACTGAATAGTTCCCCTTTGCAGCTAGCCATTCACGCACTAGAAAACCGCCATGCTGGAGAGCAAAAGTCACACTGGGAAAAGACAATCAAAGGTAATTACTATTTACAATAATGTATGCCTTTTGTTTGTCTTGTCCCAGGGCGACTCTTCAGTGCTCTCCAATACGGCGGCATTGCACCACATGAATGGATCACGCCTCAAAGGGCCTACTGCCCAATTTCCCCTCCGCTTAAAATGCCTGCCATCTAACAAAAACCGGTCTCAAGCGTCTGGGAGCGCTTTTTTTTTACAGTCAAGACATCGTAGACGATTATTTTCCTGCGCACCCTGCTGCGAAGATCAGTAGTGCCTTGTATGAGTACAAGGGTGCACTGACACCACTGCTGGAGGGGCAGTCCTATATGTGAAAATGGCGGAGATGTTTGTTGCGGAGTAACACCTCTCAGTATACTTTGGGCTTGTCTCCATCTTCCTTTATATCATCTCTTAAGGTACCATTGCCAAAATAGAGCGACAACAGGACTCCTGGCGAGAGTGGTTTTACTTAAAAATACGATGACATCGACGCTTTCTTTCTTTTATATCGTCACTGACAGCCCGAAGAGCCACATGCATTGGTCAAACTATTGGCATTCCGTAACAGGTCCTGAACACGGCAAGTGACACCAGAATGTTCCTCCGACCCTCTCTCCCTCCCAACCGATTTTGGCGCGTCGTGCAAAGCCTTTCCCCTTTCCTTGGGAGAAGCATTATGTGATGAGAGAAAAAACGACTGCGTTGAGAGACTACTATCGGCACTGACCAAGACAACAAGAATCCCTGCTACTTTTCCATGAGAATCCGCAATATGAAATTTATGGTCATTTTCAGGAGTTTTCTAGGGATGAAAAACTAGGGAGAATCTTAAGGACTTTTACTGGGTCCGATCAGAATATTTTACGAATCGAGAGATTTCCTAACAGATCCAGGAGTAAAACGTAGGCAAGCCCTGCATGTCTTAGGTCATAGTATTCATATAAATGTTAATATCAACATCAAGGAAACAAATTAACTTAATTTTTCATTGTCATTATCGTTTTTACTACTTTATTATGATTATTATTATTATTTTCATGATGATTATTATTATTATTCTTGTTATAATTATTATTAAATGGACACAACAAGTAACTAAACGGTGCTATTTTGCACTTCTACAAGGTTTCTTGTGAAAACTCATTTTCACAAGAAAGGTTTTAAAATAGCCTCGTTTTGAAAGTGTGAGTTTTTGGAATTCTGAAATGGCCTATTCGCCCCCATGTAAAAGGAATTAATCTGGTTTTCGGAATCCGGAAGTTTTTGCTTGAGTAATCTGGATTTCTGCCCTTTGGAATCCGCAAAAAAGCTCAAAGAATCCGGAATTCCACTAAAAATTGGAATATACTATTCGAGTCTTTTGCACTTGACAAAACAAAATCATTTTTTCTTAATAATTATCCTTCAACTATCCCTGGCATCCCATGTACAGGTAACTCACTTCTTAGTCAAAAATACGATTGTCTTGGATTGACTTCCATGGGGCGAATATTATGCAATATTCACAACGACCTTTAGTTTTAATACACTATTTTTGATTCCATATAATCAAGAATGCGGGAGGAAAAATTGAAATACACTATTTGGAAACTCTTTTTCACTTAAGAAAATAAAAAAAACTTTTACTACATTATCTTCCTTCAGCACGAAACGAAAAACTTAAAGCCGATTCATCCTGTTATGTACCACTTGTTTATTAAAAAACAAAGGCAATCATGGCAAAGAAAATACTGAGAAACTAGTATGTTGCATTGCTTATTGATAAACATATTTTCCTTTTCTGTGCCATTATAGAAAATCTATGGAAAATAACGTGAAGAAAATGTATGCTAATGTTACACTTTAACACACAGACGATAGACTTTTAGATGGTTCAGGTTTTTCTATCGCTAGGCCTAATTGACATACTGTGTCGAACTAGTTACTGTACCCCAAATAAATATCTTTTATTCACACAACAGAGTTCCAATTTAACGAGCAAGACTTTATAAGCACTATGAAATAGCTCGAACAATCTTACTAGCAAAATCCAAGAAAATCAACCAACGACGTAAGTTATGATAACTAAACAATGTTACAAGTAATACAGCATCTGTGATTTTTTGGCTGAATAAACTGGGCACGGTCATTACTCCTGTTAGCCAGCAGCTGCTGGGCATCCAAAACGCACTGCACATCATCTAATAAACGGTACGTACGCGCCTCGTCAACATGGTCGGGTATTACGGACAAGGCACGTTCAAAATACTCCTTGGCCTGTCCATGGTCACCCAAGCCCTTATGTAGAATACCCATGTTACGGTACGTCCTCGCGACGTCAACATGTTCGGGTCCAAGCTTATTCAATTGTATGGACAAGGCACGTTCATAATACTCCTTGGCCTGTTGATGCTCACCCAAGTCGTGATGTAGGGTACCCATGTTATGGTACGTACGCGCGACTTCAACATGGTCGGGTCCAAGCTTATTTAGTTGTACGGACAGGGCATGTTCATAATATTCCTTGGCCTGTTGATGGTCACCCAAGTCCTTATGTAGGTTACCCATGTTATGATACGTCCTCGCGACGTTAACATGGCCGGGTCCAAGCTTCTTCAATTCAATGGACAAGGCGCGTTCATAATACTCCTTGGCCTGTTGATTGTCACCCAAGTTCTTATGTAGAATACCCATGTTATGGTACGTACTCGCGACGTCAACATGGTCGGGTCCAAGCTTATTCAATTGTATGGACAAGGCACACTCATAATACTCCTTGGCCTCCTGATGGTCACCCAAGTAGTGATATAGGTTACCCATGTGATGGTAGGTGCGCGCGACGTCAACATGGTCGAATCCAAGCCTATTCAATTGTATGGACAAGGCACGTTCATAATACTCCTTGGCCTGTTGATACTCACCCAAGTCGTGATGTAGGGTGCCCATGTTATGGTACGTACGCGCGACTTCAACATGGTCGAGTCCAAGCTTATTTAGTTGTACGGAAAGGGCATGTTCATAATATTCCTTGGCCTGTTGATGGTCACCCAAGTCCTTATGTAGGTTACCCATGTCATGGTACGTACTGGCGACGTCAACATGGTCGGGTCCCAGCTCATTCAATCTAATGGACAAGGAACGTTCATAATACTCCTTGGCCTGTTGATGCTCACCCAAGTCGTGATGTAGGTTACCCATGTTATGGTACGTACGCGCGACGTCAACATGGTCGAGTCCAAGCTTATTTAGTTGTACGGAAAGGGCATGTTCATAATATTCCTTGGCCTGTTGATGGTCACCCAAGTCCTTATGTAGGTTACCCATGTTATGGTACGTACTGGCGACGTCAACATGGTCGGGTCCCAGCTTATTCAATCTAATGGACAAGGAACGTTCATAATAGTCCTTGGCCTGTTGATGCTCACCCAAGTCCTTATGTAGGTTACCCATGTTATGGTACCTACGCGCGACGTCAACATGGTCGGGTCCAAGCTTATTCAATTGTATGGCCAAGGCACGTTCATAATACTCCTTGGCCTGTTGATGCTCACCCAAGTCCATATGCAGGCTACCCATGTTATGGTACGTACGAGCGACCTCAACATGGTCGGGTCCAAGCTTATTCAGTTGTACGGACAGGGCACGTTCATAATACTCCTTGGCCTGTTGATGCTCACCCAAGTCGTGATGTAGGTTACCCATGTTAACGTACGTACGCGCGACGTCAACATGGTCGGGTCCAAGCTTATTCAATTGTATGGCCAAGGCACGTTCATAATACTCCTTGGCCTGTTGATGCTCACCCAAGTCGTGATGTAGGGTACCCATGTTATGGTACGTACTGGCGACGTCAACATGGTCGGGTCCCAGCTTATTCAATTCAATGGACAAGGCACGTTCATAATACTTCTTGGCCTCTTGATTGTCACCCATGTGGTTATATGTAGAAGCCATGTTATGGATAATTTCGGCCTCTTCTAAGTGATCAGGCAGTGTCTTGTTTTCTTTGCGTTCGCTGAGTTTTAAAGCTACATTGAAGTAGTCCAATTCTGATAGGTACTCACCATGGAGATAGCAAACATAACCAAGCACGTGAAAGTCATGCACAGTTATACAAAAATCTTCAAAAGTGGGTTTGATAAATTTCTCTGTACTAAAGGAAACCTTTTTAATTTCGGCAGCTAGAGTTTTCAAGTGTGGAACAATATGCCTACTTTCAGACACAGAATCTGCACTTTGCAGGATCTTTGGTATTGCTTCGTTTATATATTTACTAAATGACTTCACCGCAACACAAACAACTCGGACATGTTCATCAGCTTGCATTTGTTCTTTTACTAAACTCTTGACAATATTGTGTACTACGTTATGCAAACGAATGTTGACATCATCGTCTTTGTCGATTAACAGCAAGGAGGAACCTTGGATCTGAATGCCTATTTCCTCTTCATCCAACTCTCCATCAGCATTTACAACGTAAGTTGTCAACAAGTGTAGTTTGACTGGCTCTGGTGCACAAAGAGCAAGGAAGGTAAAAGCATGCTTCATTATTCTATATTTCTGCTTTAACGGCTATCCTAGTCGCTTCTGTCATAGACTCCGGGTAGATATTGTTTACTTTGGTAAGTTCTTCTTCAGTACATTCACGCTTTCCTTTTTCTAGTTTTTGTAAGTACTCCTCCCAGCCAAAGTCTGGATTGGTATTACGTACCTTTCTCACGTACACTCCTGCACTGGCTAGTGCAAGTGGTTGGTAATCCAAAACGTGTGCTACCTTTTTTCCCATACCATCGTCTGTGATTCCTGTGAGCTCGAATAGAAGGTTGGCAACGTCAGTGTAAATCATGCCTTTGCTTATAGAAAGGTGAGATGTGATTGGACTTTCAGGTGGGATACAGGAACAATCCTGGGTCGTGATAAGCAGCTGGCCCTTGCCCCACTTCTCATTCCCACGCTCCGGAAGAAACTGACCCATTCTTGCGAGATTTGTGACATTGTCAATTACCAAGAGCCAAGATGAGTATAGATGAATTTTGGTCGCAATTAAATCTTTGATAATAGCTATTTTCTGTTCAGTATCTAAATCCTTGGAGTTTTCGGTGGAAGTTATAGTGTAGGCGGGACAGCTTACTTTTCTTGCCAGTGAAAAGTATGATTCTAAAAGCGATTCTAAGTTTTCAGCATTTAAAGTCATAACAAATGAAGGAGCACTCGTGTCTTTTCGGGCTTCTTTGTAGAAATTCTCAGCAACCAGCCCAGCGAGCTGGGATTTGCCACTCCCGGGATTGCCTGAAATATAACAAAAACTTAAACTGTTCACGTTAGCCTTCCTTAGGGTAGTGAGCTTCTGTGACACTCTAGCAACGTCATAGTCGCGACTTGACATCACATGGGGAGGTTTGGGTGGAAGGACGCAAAATGGCTCCACCTCGCGCTGAAGTTGCTCTTCAAAGACCTTGCGCTGTTCTTCTGTAATTTTTAACCTGTCTTTGTTCTCTTGAAGCTCTGCTTCCTTCTCTTGAAGTTCGGTATGCCTTTCTTGTAACTTGACTTCTTTTTCCTGAAGTTGAACATCTTTCTGCAAAAGCTCTGTTGTTTTCTTCTCTAATTCAATAGCTTTGTCTTGAAGTTCCGTATTTTTGGTCTGAAGGTCTTGAGTAAGTTTCTGATTGCTTGTCTTCACATTTTGCAACTCATCGGTTGGAAAACTTTTCTGCTTTCTTACAGTTTGGATGTCATCAGTGGACGGGCCAAGGGCTCTAAATGCTGTCTCAACTTTTGCAACAGTGATGCTGAAGTCTGCATTTGAGAGCTGACCTTCTGTCATGTGAGCGAAGTCTTCATTTCGAAACTTTCTAAGATCATCAACGTTGGTTCTAACCATTGGACTTAGTCCATGAATAGAATCGGAGAACAGGATGGAATAAAATAGCATAGTACAGTCCCATTCTTCTCTATCTCCATTAGCCATCGTAGCTAACAATCGAGCATTTTTTCTTTGATTAGCAGGGGACTCACCGTTTATGAAGTCCAATCCATTTTGAGGCGTGTCTTTCCATTCTCCACACGTTGCCTTGTAACGATTATCCCATTCTTGCTTGAACAGTAGTCGTAAAGCTGGGGGCAATATGTCAGTGGCTATGTGACAAACCCGGAAATAGTTAAGCTGTTCTTCCGAATAAACTTTAGAGGCCATTTGGTAACGGAGGGGAGAACAGTCTGGTACCTTTTCAGAGAAAAAAAAAAGAGAACAACGTAATTTAACTACGCCGAAGAGTTTAACGGAGATCAGGGTATTCATGGGCGAAATTATTGCAGGCAAATTATATTATATTATGGTTTTTATTCGGTGAGAAGATCAATTCAGTGTTTGTCGCAAAGTATATAAAACTCTTTGACTGTTTAAATTTGAATAAGAAATACAACACGAAACCTGTTGATGATAAACATAAAAAGCAATGAGGGATTTTGTTTACTTTAACTTTAACAATATCGCTGCTTAATTAGACTGCCAGCCTGTACCAGGCTTTCGATCAGTGCAGACGAGCGAAAAAGGCGAGCGAGCAGTGGAAAAGCAAAAGAAAAAAATTTACAAAGGGGGAGGGGGTTGGGGAGAGGGGAGAATTCGGGAGAGCCTGTAAGCATCTTTTCAAATACTTCAATTCGCCCACTGCCCCGCCAACGTCCAGAAAAAAAAACCGTTTATTGTGTCAAAATGAGGTATCAAATGTTAAAATGTGCCGTGTAGGAGGGTTTCACACGTTCCCTTTGTTTGTTCTTTCACTCTGCGCGTGTGAAGCCAACCGATTAGGGACGAGAACGTCCCTAAAATCTGAATTTGCGTTTTTTCAGTGTTAATCACAATTATTCCGACCCACTTACTTTGTCAAATATAGGCGAACTCTCCTGAAGCTGAATTTCAAGCGACCCTATCTCCGTTCAGAAAGAGAAATAAAATTTCGTCGTTGCATATTTACCTTCTACTTAAATCACGATATAAGACATTTTCCTATCTTAATCGTGCAAAAACGGCAAAGATGATGTGCCAAAAAAAGTGATGCACTTGCTAAGTTGTTGTTTGCGTGTTAATGACTTGAAGTTTTTGGTTTTTGGTTTTTCTACTTTCTCGTTGCGGTCATGTCGTTAGATCGTTACGTCCCTACTGACATGGATGACGTAAACTGTCAAAATTGACCAATCACAGGGTATACCAGGAGTTGGTATACTATTGAAAACAATGCTTACAGGCTCCACTTACTCGTCTCTCCCAAGCTCCCCCCGCGTTTTTCCTGCAGCTTTTCTCGATACGCTTTCTCCACTATCTTGGAGCCTTGAACAGCATTAGACTGCGATTAAAGAAAACATGCCTTGCATACAGTCCGTCTTTTGTCCTAAGATCCTTCAAATGTTTAATGGCGTTTAGCAATTAAAGTTCGGAAAATGAATGCAGCCAGTCAAAAACAGATTGTAATAAGACGAGAAGACAAATGAGACAAGCCGCTTGTGTTTCTCCGCGCGGGTGCTTCCTTACCTAAGCATGACCTAATAGGACTGCCAGAAGCCCGGGGGGGCGGGGTTATTCCCTTTAATGGTCGACACCGGGAGTCTCCGCCCGAAAGGTGTACCTTAGTCAGGCATCAGGCATATAAAAGGGTGGAGATTTCACTAGTTAAGATATATAAAAGCATAAGAAAATCTGTCATTGCGTGCTGTAAAAAGGGATACCTAAACTGATTTGCAGACGCATTTTGAGGCTGTGAAAAAGTCAAGAAAATTCATGGTTTAGTGCACGTGGTTCATTCATATTTAAAAATACAGAGCGTTTACAGCAGTTAACTAAGGGATGCAGCGTTCGAAACCAAGAGAAAATGTGTAAACTAGGAATGTGAAAGGCGTACCATTTATGAATGAATGGAAAGTATACGGAAAGGGTTATCATCCATGTCAAAAATGGGACATAAAAGGATAAGGGGAGATGCATTTTGACTTACTTATATAGATGAACAAATTATGGCAAATATTCTGTAGGTTTTAAGAGAGCAATCATATGGAACGACCATCCCTCAAATATAAGAAACATAGGTTCGTATATTATGTTTAAGAAAAAAGTCAAAGAGCATGTGATTTACTCTTAAAGAAAAAGTTTTTCATACTTAGACTGTTTCTTAAAACACTGGAATTCGAAGTGTGTTATGCTTTACATCTATTTAGAATAAAGCGGAGATCATCTAAAAACTCAACAAAACTTCAGTGCTTAATCTCCTACCTTGTAATTTTGTAATAGGATACTTGTATGAATGTATGGTAAATATTAATTAAGGAACCTAATTTCTTACAAAGAGGTTGGACTTCTCTTGAAAACATGTTGAGTAGCCCCCCGGGGTCCGAAGCTTTCCCGGAAATAGGACTGAGAAATTGTTCGCAGTCTAGAGAAAACCAACTTAAGAAGCCGTTCTCACCATAACCTAGTGACATGAGATCACCATCAGCATCACTTATACGGCCAAAGCCGAGTTGTTTTGGATAACAAAGAGTTCTGTTGCTTCAAACTTCCTGCATGAATGATGCGATGCTGCGCTGAAGGTTACGTGCGCGCGCGTATTCATTAATTGATTTATAGAAATTTTTATACTTACCACTTGTATGTTTTGTATAAGTTCCTCCTTAACCGAAAGGGAAAATGCTTTCGATGAACGATAAACTGTGACAAACTCTAGCTCAATCGAATCGTTGTTCAACAAGCCAAGACGAATATTCAACAATTCCCTTCGTTCAGCACTTTTCACTCTTGATTGCTGAGGTGAGACGTAATTTTACTACCTATTGCCCAATCAGGGGAACACGCGATGACAAAATATTAAAATTGACAAAATTCAACCTTGCGTTTCAACTACGGTTTATCATTTGTTAGTGTCTGCTGTTCTGTTCACCAATATTTTAAAGTTAATCCTTTCAAGTAAAAATAATTAATGTTCAGTGTTTTGATGTTTTGTCTCAGTTTGTGAAAAATCACTTTATTTTGATGTTAGAGCCGAGCTTGATAATCGAGTGATACGACTTAGTGCCTGTTTACATGGAGTGGGGGACCCTGGTCTAGTGGGGTTGGTTTCTTTTGTTTTTACGCTCTGGGGGACACAAAACAAAAGAAACCTACCCAACTAGACCGGGGTCCCCCACTCCATGTAAACAGGGTCTTAAATTTTTGGAATAGCCCATGTTCGATAGATTAAAATTCTAACATGACTCCGAGGCGGCAAATTTTTCACGACTCCATTGTCTCCGTTGTTCTCTCCCCAATCTCCTCGCGATTTCTCAGCCCTCTCCCGCCTGACCGCCCGCCTATATTACTTAGCGCGCCCAACCAAAACCGCCATGCTACACAGGCTATTCTCAGAGGAGACTTGAGCACAAAGAAACAAAACCAAATATAGAAAAATGACCAGAAAGCCTCGGAGTCATGTTAGAATTTTAATACATGTATATCGAGCGTGGGTTATTGGTCCAGCCTTTTCAGCAGCATGACCGTCAAAAGCACTGGGTTTGAGATATCTCTCTCTTTTTTTTGGTTCAGCCAAGTTTACATAAACTTTACATTTATTTTAAGGTAGCTTAAAGGCAACCATAATAATATTAAGCCAACAACAGAAGCTGTAGCATGTTCTAGGCTCCAAGATAGTGTGCACGCGCATCTTATTTTTGCTTGGCTTGTGTTATTTCAGGGGCACCCAACGACCGTTTTCGGGGAACTATCTGTTCGGAGCCCTCTAGAATGGCTAAAATTTTCGAGAGCCCAAGAACAGCTAAAAATTTCGAAAATGTTTCGTGGTGACTGTTTGTTGGGCTCAGAGTTTCGGGATTTGTGTGGTTTGTTCACCTAAGAATTTCGGATTTTGTAGTAATCTCTAGATCACCTAGAAATTTCGTAGCTTTCGTAAACTAAAAATAGAGCAAAATTTTTAAACCCGGCTGACAGTCTCATTAGCAAAAATTTCACACAACTCATTCAAAACCCAACGACCCTTTTCTGAGGGTCCCCGGCTTACCGGTTACGCGTACGCGAGCGCTATATCAGCGCGCATCGCGTGAATAGCGCCTGTCAGTCCTGTGTATCGGTCGATGGACACTCAGGACAGTATCGTAGCAGGACTACGGATGGAGGGATAACCCAGATAACTCTATTGTAGCACTGTTCTCGGCATCGCATGTATCTGAGATCAAATTTTTCTAGCGATGCGAATTATTCATTTATATTGCTTTTAAAGCACTCCAGGATGCATAACGAGCCATTTCAGATCATTTCCCAGAAAACGGTCGTTGGGTGCCCCTGTAATTTCTCGCAGCGTCCCTACTATCCAAGAGCCTGGCACAGGCTACAAGAAGTGCAAATTCTTATATGCCATTCTAACAAAAGACATAAAATAATAAAATGAAAGTAAGAGAGCTTTATGGTAATTTTTTGTAGTTGGCCTGGCATCAAACAAGGTGTCATCAATGCTGATAATGTTTTTTTCTTCTTGCTTATCGCAGTTGGTGGTGGTGGGGGAAGCACTAGACACATATTTGGGTATAGGTGAGCCGCTGATGCTTTGAAACCCTGACCTTGTTTAGGACAAAAAATTCCTAAAATTCATGCCCTGTTTAGGAGTACACCCTCTATTTTATTACCCTGTTTAGGACGAAAGACAAATGTTTGCCGTCTTGTTTTAAGTCATTTATTGGCAATTGCTATAGAGCAAATTCGCGTTACAGTCATTGGTTTTGTATACCAAAATTCATCTGGGCAATATTCTGTTAACAGACACACACAAAATTATATACCCTTTTCAGGACAGAGAGGTCAAAAACCATATATACCCTGCCCACTGGCACATACATCTACCCATATAGGCTATATAAGGGAGTAGCCCCGCTGGGATGCCTATATAAAGTCAAACACATACAAATTCTTCTGAAAATATTCTCGACTCATCAAACAAAAGGTTATGGGAATAAAAAAATGATCCTCAGCAATTAAAAATGCCTTCCTTGATAATAATTAAATTCAACTTCTCTTCATAACCACTAAATGTAGGGAGGTAGTATCCAAGAATGGTCAGCACACTGGACTCATAATCTGGAGGCCCCTGATTTAAGTTGTGCCATGATTATCACGAAGTACACCAGCTGGATTTATTTTCTTGGTATTCTCTAGTTCAACTCTTCAACCACGCTTATAAATAGCCACCTGGTTTTCTCCTCCTGGCAATGGGTTGTCTTTAATATACATTCTATTAGTAATACCAGTACTTGATACACTAAAAGGAATTCTTTTGCTCTTGAACTCTATTGTTGTTTCAAATGTTTAAAGCAACCCTTAATATGGCCTGAGACCAGGCTCCGCAGTGGGGAAAAAAGGGGAAAAAATTGGTGTGCGAAAAGAAAAAAAGGGGTAGCATGGGGAGTCTGACCCTAGGCTACCCTTAATATATTCATAGTTGCTAGCATTACATTTAATGTATTGTAATTACTCTAGATAATTCATTTGGATGCAGACTTTGTAACTGTAAGTTGTAACTCCACAACAAATATGGTTGATTTTTTTTTTTATAAATCTTGTTCTACATTTAAGTGGGCTTACATCTGTAACCAAAACAATGTTGCTCTCATTGATACTATTAGTCATGTTTTTTTATTACTTTTTTAAGAAATCGCTTATCTATGCAGAATTGAAGTGTTAAGACACATTGAAGTTCATTAAACAAATTAACCCATCAATATTAATACCCACAGAATGAGTAGTGACAAAAAACTCACTCATTTGTAGTATATAATGTCAGATTTATAATATTTCAGCAACTAATAATTATTATATAACTACAAAACTACCACCCAGATTCCCATACAGGTCTAGAAATTTTTCTCCGCTGTGCAGATTGACGTGAGCCACTTGATATCCTGGAACTTGTAACACTCAGCGAATCTCCAATCATCAGACTTGACTCACTGGGAGAACGTGAAAAATGGGAGACACTCGATGTTGTACTCTTAGCACTAGAAGGTCGACTTCTTGAGGCTGTTTTTGAGTACTGTTTTTGTTTGAAGTGGTCTTTGAGTAAAGAGTCTCTTGACAAACTTCTTGTTGGTCTGATGGCTTCAAGTCTTTGCAGCAATTTCTTAAGAAGGAAGAAGAAAGAAAAATAATCAGTTTTAGTATATAAATTTGAGGTTCTTACTGCCTTGATATTGCTTGCATTCCTATAACATACTTTTTTAGTTATGGTGGTTGTAATGATAACCCAATGCATTGGGAAATGCTGATATCCTTCCCAAGATATGAATATTAACATTTGACAAAGAGATAACAATATTGCAACACAATAATATTATACACTGTATGCTACATTAAAATCATTTGAAATCATTGTCTTTATCATTTTTTAACCAACCTCTGCATGTTAGCCATAATTTGTGATTTACAATGAAAACAAGGAAATGAAAAATTAGCCATCCTTGCTTCTCATCTTATTCTGACAGATGGTAGACAAGATGGGGAACAAAGGTATGCTCATAATTTATTTGTCACTTGTCAACTGTGCAGTATTGGGCATAACTAAGCACAGGAAAGTAGTCTTGACTAGTTTCGCAGAGTATTGTGCATGGTACAGTGGTCCTTGCATGTATTGCAGGCTGTATTTTTGGTCTGTAAGACACTGGCAAATCTCGATATTTTGCGATAACTGAGTTCAATCATTGTTTTATTATTCGATCACTGAGTTGGTTTTTTAATGAATATCCTCGGGAAGCGTTCAGCGATTTGCCATTTCCATGAGCGATCGCAAGAAGGAGAAAAGCATGGTGTCATTAACGTATGAGAAGAGTAATTTATTATTTGCAGCCAAACAATTAGTTAGATGACATTGCACATTAGCAGACCATTATTTGTAGGCAGTTATTTGCAGGTCACTTAGTGGGCTCTTGGCCAATGAAAAGGAAAAAAATTTACAATGAATGATAATTTGTATTGTTACAACCCTACATATTTTACTTTGAGTGCAATTAACTGAACCCCTAGATGACTTTGATCGTCTGCTAGGTTTTCCTCCAGTTTGCCTGATTTGTCCTTGTAAATCAAAAAGAGAACATTAACAGGGACACCCAACGACTGTTTTCTGTAAAATATCTGTTCAGAGAAGCAAATATTGCCTAGAATTTTCTTTGACTTGAGGATGGCTAAAAAGGTCTAGATGACCATGTATTCATATACAATTTTCGAAGGTAATATATCCCCTACAATTTTCTGAGTTTTGATTTTTCACAATTCATTCCCCAGTTAAGGCGATTTTTTGTTGAAAAAAGGAGACCAAAAATATTTGGATTAAAAATTGTCATAGAGAGAAAAATCAGAAAAATTCTCACTTTCGTAATATATTTATAAATTGCATCTAAAAGTTTCGGGAAAATAATGCTGAAGCCCTTGTAATTTCGAAAAGGCTCAAGTTCCCCTAGGATGACCGAACAGATACAAATTTCACAGCACCGCTTAGAATGCATTTCTAGAGATCTTAAAGTACTCAGGATGGCCTAAAAAGTGTTTTCAATGTGGTAGGAGGAAACCGTCGTTGGGTGCCCCTGACATTAATTTAGATCAGGCCCCAGTTGTTCAAATGTTTGATAGTGCTATCCACCGGATAAATTGCTATCCCGTGGATAAGTATTTGGGAAACCAATAAATTGCACTATCCACTGGATAGAGATTTATCCACCAGATAGCACTATCCACCTTTTGAACAACTGGGCACAGGAGTTACTTGGGGCTGCCTAATTATTGGCTAAAATAGTAGTTAGTCAGGGCTTCGGATAGAAAATATTATACAGTGTAAATACTATTTTATGCAACTGTTTTAAGGTGATTTTACTTAACACATGAATCTTCTTGGGTTCTATATAATTTATATAATAATATGATAGAGTGTAATCTAGAGTGTAAATTCACTATCTCACTTACACTGTAAACTTTAAAAACTTAACCATATAGTAACTATTAAAAACACTATAGCTTCACACAAGACCCTGAACACACTGCTGGCTAACTTTATCTGCAATTCAAAAATTTTTTAAATTTGCCATGGCAAAAATGGTTGGAGCAAGGAGCACTGGTAACATACAGAAGGAAGCAAGACAAGCAACGGCCCTTATGTGATTACGTCAGATGAGCAAATTTCACCACCAAGCCTTGTTAGTGAGCAAAATTCTTTGCATTTGCTCTCTTAGTGTGTGGGTTTTCTTTTCAACTGTACTGCCTTGAGAATTCATTTATGTAAAACTTTGCGACTTTACATTTTGAAAATGGCACTTGGTGGTGAAATTTACTTCTCTGATGTAAACATGCAGAAGGGCTATTTCTGAACTTTGAGATGCTAATGAGATTATACATGTAGCAACCAAGAAGACCAGTATGCATCTACATGTACACAAGCCCTATGGAGCTAGTGATAGAAAATTATCACATATGTGTTGGTCAGAATAAGAGATTGCCCTGGGAGAGGAAAAACAAGGGAATTAATTATAATTCAAAACCCTTTTTGTCTTGTTCAAATGAGTCTATTGCTCTCCAGCTAGGTGCTTTTGTACTGCATAAACGACTCACAGAAGAGCGCTTGTCAGCTTCTTTCACAATCAAAACAAAATTGGTGTACACGCCCAAGTTCACGTTTTAGGGACAGCATGAAAATAAAGGCTGGTTTGTTAAGTGGCTGAAACATTCTTTGTGTATTTTGAGGCATTTATTCCACAGACTGCTGAAAAAGCGTCAGTGATGTATTATTCATCGCTTTGAAAAGTAATTACACTGTGCAGGTATACTTTTCAAACAAATTAAGAAAACAAAGTAATAATGCCTTGATGGAAGATAACTTTACAGATCTTATGTACGTATATATTAAAATCAACTAGACTCGATTCATTTTCGACCCCTCGATTCAGAAGTTGCTTATAATACTATTATTAAAGCTTTTTTTCTTACCTGGTTTTCCATGTCAACTTTTCTTTGAAACCTGTATCTATTCACTTCAGACGATGTTTGCACCCTCAAGGGTTCTGAGACAGCTTTTTTCGGTTGCGCCGTCTTCGGCCTTCCTCTTGTTCTTGTAATTACTTTTAACAGTCTCTGGTTTTCTCTATCAATAGCGTCAACCGTTGTGTTACTGAACGACATATTTTTGCGTTCAAGAGGCGCCGGACGCCTTGATTCGTTTAGATTTACAGCACTTCTAGGCCTTGATCTAGATGCTGTAGACACTGATGAATGTCTTGAAGCTGTGTCGTCGAAATCTTTAACCCCTCTTGCATCGTCCCAATAACCCTTCGAAGTTAACTTTGCTCGGGTTTCTGCTACATCTTCCATTTTTCGTTCAGTCGTGTCCCCTTGTTTTTCATTCAGTTTCTCGTTAATATCTAGGACAGCCTGAAGAAGCAGGTTAAGATCTATTTGATCCGAGTTTGGGTGAAGAAAATGTTCCCTCTTTAGCCGATCATCAGTTCTATCGTGACAAGTATTCCCCGTTGAATTTCGACGATGTGTTTTCGCGGACGCCATGTTTCTCTCTCGAAGCCGTTTTCATCTGTGTGACGTCATGTTGCTACGGAAACAAGTAACATCGAAGAAATCGAATCGTGGGCGCATGAAAATATTTTGGTCCCAGTTCTCTCTCATAAACAATTTATTTGAATATGCAATTCCACTACTAATAATTCAGCGGTTTCTCGTTGAAGAGTCACCCAGTGGAAGAATTTCTTCGTGGCATGGAAGCAAAGTTGAAAGAAAATGGCTGGTAGGGGTTTTTTGCAAAGCTGTAGCAATTTATTTCGTTCTTTTTTTCCCCTTTGTAATCGACGTTCAACATCGCTTTGAATTTTCTTACCCCGCACGCTTGATTTTTCTATGCTCATTTCGGTGATAAATTTTCAGAAGTTGCGGTTTTTCGCGTCATCCACCTCAATCTAGAAGGTGTTCGTTTCGTTTTGAAAACTGTTCCAGTTTGTTTCGATGAAACGATCGTTTTTAATTGCAGGTTTCTCTCCTCCGAAGGAATTGCAGAGTGCGAAAGGGTTTGCAACAAAGACAAGCCATCGTTGCAGGAGATGTCGAGGGCAGCCCTAAATGTGAGTATTACACAAAACGCGACTTTTGACATTTTACAATCAAGGTTTCTTCTCGCGGTATATTTCTACCCCTTCGCCGATAAATAGCTCCACATTTTCGATCCTTGTACTGTACAATTTAGCCATTAAACGGCGTGAAACTAACTTTACTTGTCGGTGAAGCTGTTTTCCACTGCTCATTAAATATGAACATTTTAAAGTTTAATGCCTCTGTGAATCAGCTTATGACGGGATATCCGATTGACTATTGTTTTGGTTTCCTTTAATTGATTTTTTGATGGAGTTTGCCTCCATCTCCCGCCGATCGTATATCATAACTTCATCATGCTTTTAAGCACGCTTAAAGTAATGACAGAATAAAACGCTTGTAAAGCTCAGGTATTTTTTCTTTCAATTATCTATTAATCGTTCCATAACCTACCATAATGAGAGCGGATTTTAATTGAGTGCTGTAAAACCGCAACAAACTGATTTCCATGGCCAGTTGAGTAGCACTTAAAAAATTAAATGAACATTCCATGAATTCAGTGATGAAAGCTCTCAGATGTAGTCAGCATCAATGGGTGAAAAAGTAGGGAGTAATGTTTAAGGTAAAATATTAACATAGTACTAAGAACACAAGTTGGAATTGATTGTCTGTAGGGGTGTTGTCATGAACATGAGAGGTGATTATTGGGGTCATTTTAACCGATATCCAGAATTAGTATATACACACTCAGTGATCTTGGTGATTTAAGCAATCTGATTGGTTCGCTATCTCGGACTATTCAACAATATTCACCTCCTAGCGAGTGGATAATGTGTGAGCTCAGTGTTTTTCCCATTTTTTAGAGAACGATCTTTTAAAAGTCGACAGAATCCTAGGGCTGACTTTTTTTAAGGCAAGAAAAGACTTGGAAGGATTCAATACGGCGTTTTTCAATTTACTGTAGCACTCAGTAGTAGCAGGAGTTTTGTGCTCGATGGATTGTTTACAACTCGCGTGTATTCGCGTAGAAGAAGCCGTTTCCGTTTTCTAAGAAGACAATTTTGGCTCAAAAATCGAAGTTTATTTATGAAAAACAAATTTAAAAGGAAATGTTTGCAGAAATTCTACGTTTCAAGTAAACAGGAAAAAGAATGATACAGAAAGACGACGTCTTACCTCGAGCAAATGAGCCGCCATTTTTGTCAGCACTTCATGCGAAGAACGACACAACAAACCCTTTTGGCTATAAACGTGGCGAGTCAACAGAAAACAACACAGGTGTACTTTTCTTCTCAGGTAAGGAAACAGTTCAAACTTTTAGCGGTTCCATTTAAGCCATTACGCTGTTGTTTGCGAAATGATAAACTTGTGAATTGCCATGTTTGAAATTTCTGCAAAGATCTATTTTTAAACTTACGCGTGATTTGATCTGTCAATCAAATCGTACTTTTGAATGGTTTCCTCTCTGATTTTGTTGAGATCACTTCATGTGTATATACTAAAACAATTATTCTTTTCAATCTCGGTGAATAGTGGCTTTGGGAATATTTACCTCGCCGCTTTCGCGTCTCGGTAAATATTTTGCCACTATTCACCTCGATTTCAAAGAATAATTGTTAAGTATAACAATAGCTGGAATACTATTTGTTGCAACAGTATTGTACTATCACACTAGTCTTGTACTATTGCAGTAGTAGAACTATGGCGTTGCAATATTGTTATTTGTAACCTATGGTGTTGCAATACTGTTATTTGTGGTAAATGGGTAAAAAGTTGTGAGATGTTCCAAATTTTCAAGTGGAAAGTACTTCCAGTGGGAATTATGGGTATTGGAAGTCACATAATTACATGTATGGCTGAAAAGCTGCAGCAGTAAACATCACGTTTAATTTTATGATTTAGGTTCTGTAATGGCGGTCATCTTAAAAAAGAAAAACAGTAAGCTTAAGTCTGCACATTAATTTTGGTGGCATGTAGCGGCCATCATGGTAGGCTGAAAGAATGTAATCTAACACGAACGCTAAGTGTTTTCTTTGGATTGTGCTTGCTGTCTATTGATATCTTACCTGGAAGCAAATGGCTACACCTTCAAAATTTTTTTAGAGTTTCGACTTTGTGAGAAAGCATGAGAAATCAGTTGCCAACTAGTGAGAGCATGAGATAGGTTGTGAAATGGTGAGACTCATGGCAAAGTTGTGAGACTTCATGTCAAGTCTGGTGAGAAAGTTCCATTAGCTATCATTTTTGTAACTCCGAATATACTGGTTATACCTTTTACTAAAGTAAAGTGAGTCCATTGTCACATTTATTGCTCTAATATTTGGCTTTGATTTCAAAACAAAGTACAAACCAGGCACCTGCAAGCTAGGCAGTGAAAAAAATGAGGCCTTTTTTTGGCACAGAAGAGGACTTCAAGAGATTGTCAAAATACACTGATAGGTTCATGTATTGTTTCTTCCTTCGTAATATAGCCTCTGTGGCAAGCATCAAAAAAGGGGTGGGGATTGATTGGAAGAAAGGAACTAAAGGAGGGAGTAGGGGAAGAGAGGGAGAGGAATACCTGCTATAAGGGCTCCCTTAGCCTGCGAAAACAGTTGTTTCTCCTTGCTCTTCGCCGCTGAGGATGTTTCACGAGGAGGAACGTCTGCGACTGTGCGACAGAAATTCCATACTAATGATGTAAATCAATGTTTCTATAATAAATCCGGTAGTCATGGGGTTCCAAAATTAATGTAATTTTGTTCAATTTTGCATTTCTCCTGGTCGATTTTGGTAAAGTGTTGTGTTCATCTGCAAACGAGCTCCAGTAAAACTCAAATGCTTCTTCTAGAGAAGAATATATCCCACAAAGATTGACTTACTTGTTATAGATTCATCGTGTTGACATTTGACCTTTGTAGCCTTTTGTCTTTTGTCTGTCATTCGTAAACAATAGCTAAAACAATGTAACTACTCCATAGTCCAATCAGCGCTTATGACCAGATTCTGAAACAATTTTACGTCATCAGTATGGACTGAGTCGCAGATGTTCCTCCTTGCGAAACGTCCCCAGCAGCGATGAGTGAGGAGAAACGGCTGTTTTCACAGGCTAGGGCTCCCTTTTTGTTCATTTTTCTGATTGGTTGAGCCAAACTGATCATTGTTTCCAGACGTAACAAATCAATGACATCAATGAAATCAATGAGTAATCAATAGGTAATCGATGGGTAATCGGTTGATTAGTCATTCATTATATACGATATTCAATGAGTAATCGGTGAATAATCAATAGGCCACAAAATTTTCAGTCATTGATTAATAATTATCGATATAATCTCGTGGGTACGCAAACCATACCAAATCGAAAATAAACAAACAAAGACTTCTTTGACATAAATATCATGATACAAGCTTTATTTATTCATGATCTTTTACCCGGTGAGCACTCTGCTGTGGCTGCATTTCTCAATGCAGATACAGACTCTACTAGCCAAGAGACTAAGACGGATAACTCGACCTTCTGAACATTTCATTTTCGTCATGGCCAATATAATTATATTGGTTTTCTACACGCAAGTTCAATTTCTATTTGGCTATTATTATAGTCAAGAACCATTAACGTAAATTTTTATCAGTGGAAATAAGTTAAGAAAAAAATTGCGAGAAATTGTATGAGATGTGTAATCAATGACTCACTGATGGATAATCATTATATAATTGATGAGTAATCGAATGCATCAATTACTCATCGATGGCATCAATGAGTATAAATCAGTGACATCAATGAGTAATCAATAGCTCACAAAATTTTTGGCCATTGATTAGTCATCGATTACCCATTGATTATAGTGAACAATCAATGACTAGTTATAATTAGTTGATTACTTAATGATTACTCATCAATATTACTCATTGATGTCATTCATCAGCAGTTAGTTACGTCTCTTTGTTTGTCGTGTTTGTTGAGCAACAGCAGTAAAACTGCTCTGTTTTGCTCACAATAATTATTATGATTTTATTTGAAAAGAGGCATCTAAACATGACAATTTGCCGTAATTAAAGTAACACATCTGGAGTTTGGCCCATGCTGAAAAGTGCTCCTTACTTTTGAGTAGTTACGTATTTAAAGTTGACGTTATCAGGTTTAAAGTTGGGAAATTGGTGGGTGGAATGCAAAAACACAGGCTCTTATAACAGGCACTCTCCTTGCCTGTGTGACTGGCATTGAATTGGGGAGGGGAAAAAGAAGGAAAGTGGAGAGAGGACTGAGGAGACAAGAAATCCTACAGACTTTTCTCATTTTGTGCTTTTCCTTCCCTCTCCTTTCCTTTTTTTTGTACCAGGCATGTAAGCTATTGCCCTCTCTGCCTTTTTCCTCTGCGCTTCTCCCCACCCCTCCCCCCCTTCTACCTTTGTTTGCAAAGGATGGTCACAAAATGTTGTGGACAGGTTGTAAAAAAGTGATAGCCTTGTCACCAACACTTACCTACATGTACATGTATACTGGTGTTAGATACAGTTGAACTGCCACAACAGCCATCTCTCTACAACAGCCACCTCTCCAATGGCCACTTTTTTTGGCCGACAGTCTATACAGTCAATCTTGTTTCAACCTCTCTACAGTGGCCACTTTCTTCTGTTCCCAAAGTGGTTGTTGCAGAGAGGTTCAACTGTAATGAGAAAAAATTCTCAGACTGCCAGCTTCTTTCTTTGTACATCATGAATATGCATGTGTTCATGTAGTGAAAGAATATACATGTATATGTTACAGGTCAATTGATTCGCAATTTCCTCTGTCTCCTGGCCCCAATTCTTGAATGATTAGGACTACAGCTGTAGGAGACAAAGGAAATAGAAAATCAACCTACTCGGTAGGTTAAAAAAATTTTAACCTGTATTCCGGACTTTTTGTTGCCCCAAATGGAAGCTTACAGGGTCATACAGATATGTGAGAGTTTTATCACTAAGAAAGCCATGCAAGACCAGTAGTAGTGTAGTGTGACAGATGAATAGGCACTTTTGAGGTCAATCTTTGTGAGATATGCATTACTTTTGATAAGTGATACCGCCTTGTCAACAGTCACTTGGGAGTAATGTTGTTGCGTGTCAGGGTATGAATTAACATTGCTATCTTGCAGTCTGCTGTAGTCGTGGATAAGATGGATTTTGTCACTGTCCGGTTTCGGTATTAATCCTAGTGAGCTTACTATAGTGGGTTATTCAGTTGTAATAATGTAGTTGCCATGTTGAATTTCTTCCTGCATTGCCTTTTCAACTTTGTTGCAAACATCGTCTCCAGTTGTCGATTTGTAATTCGTCACTTCTTCAGGTCGTAGGTTGGAATCATGGGATACAATACAAAAGCCATCCTTTAGCCCTCTCAATAAAAAGTCTCGGTCAGGATCATTTGTCAGATTTTCTGTCCGAGCATCAATGTTTTTGGTTAGCGAAGATAGGTGTAGAAATGTAGGGGATCCGAGTCAGGTGTGTTGAGTTGACATTGTTGTCTGATGCTCTTGTTGTGGGTGGGGCTGAGAAAAATAAAATTTGCCACGAGGCATACATGTACATGCTGAAAGCAGCATTAAGGCCAGTTACAGCCGGACAATGAGTTAAACTGCCAGCAGATTGGTTTTATAAGACGAGACTGCTGCTCAGAATTTGATCGTATAGTGGGGTGGTATAAGGCCTACCCGGGTTCTGGTTGAACTGATTCACTGCACGAGGTTTTAAGAGAAACCACGTTGAGAGATGCTGCGAATCGCTGCCCTAGCGAGAGCCATAATGGTGCTGAAGTTTGCAATATTCGTTGTCCTACATGACAACAGAGACAAGGGATTCTAAGAGTTCCGCTACTTTTACATTATATGAATGGTAATCTGCAATTTGGCCATGCCAGAAAGTTTTCCTGTGTTTGTCAATTTGAGCATAATTGTTGCATTTGCGGGAACGGCCAGAGATGATGAAATATTTTCTAATTATTGTGGCATGCCCCTGGGGGCATGTCGAATAATACTTGCATCTGTAGAACCACCAATTTCTTGTTCGTTCTCAATGGATCCATTGTAAGTTGCAGTAATTACAAAGTCGGGAATAAGAAAAGGTTTTATCTCACCTCCCTTCTTGTCCTGTATACCAAGGAACACCTGCAGGTTGTTGTGAACCCTCTCGAGGGGCACAATCAATGGCTGTTCTGTGGCTCCGCGGGTGACAGGTGGGTCATTTAATGAAACTCCTGTGATCTTTTTCAGTAGTTCTTCTAAACCGCCATTGTTCGCCAATGTCTTGGTAGTGACAGGTGTTGTTTTGATTGGTCTCGCTGGTCATTCGCTGGTCATTCAGTTTTGCCAAGCGTGAAGCAGGAGTTTCTTTTTTCTGAGGGTAAGGTCCAGCGTGGCAATGTCATCTACGTGGACTTACTTCAAGGCCTCTTGAGAACACAGATCGCTTTTCCCTAGCTCATCAATCGTCTTCTGCTTGAGCCCATAGTCACTACCCCATGTTTTAAAATCAAAGATTGCCATCATAAAAAAATTCCAGTATTGCTCAAGTATGCTAACAACGTACATGTAGAACGCTTGCTCATTTATTATGTGCTGAAAGTTCGCTTATACATTGCGGGCATAGTGTGGAATTTCCGCTGCAGTTTAATGGTGATAAACAAGTCTATCACCCACTTAAATTATTTTGATGGTAACATATTATATACTAGAAGGTGATGGTTACATTTTGTAATGTTTGTACTGTTTTAACTGGCTATTTATAATATAATATTACTTCGAAATCCATGTACGTATGTGACCGGTCAAACTGAAAATTTCTCAGTAAGCAATGGTCATCTTGATCACACATTTTCAGTTGATGGACCATTACATGATGATTTTGAATCCTGCAAATGGTCATACTCGACCTTCTCATGAGATGAATCAATTTGGAAGCTTTTAATTAAAAATTCATAAAAATATCAACATTGCAGGTATTCTAAAAAAATTGTTGCCTTGATAAGATAGATTAAGCTATAACTCGAGTTTATATACATGTAAACCAGTTTTTGACCTGTGATATAAAAATTTAGATGGGAATGTGATGGTTAAAATTTATAATGTTTGTACTGTTTGACTGGCCTTTTATAATATTATATTATTTTGAAAGCCATGCATGTACTGTATGTGACCAGTCAAACTGAAAATTGCTCAACAAGCAATGGTCATGTGGTTGCACATTTTCAGTTGACAGGGCCCATTACTAGCCTGAATTTCACCCGATTACTTCGAGTTGTTATTACTCCCTCAGTAACGTCAGGAGAAAACGACTCGAAGCAATCGGATGAATTTCAGGCCAGGCCCATTACATGATTTTTTAACCCTGCATCAATTTGGAAGCTTGTAATTAAAAATTCATAAAAATATCAGCATTGCAAGTATTCTATTTAAAAGAATTGTTGCTTTATTAAAATAGCCAGTTCAATATTGAGCTATAACTGGAGTTTAACCAGAACATGCTACATCACTTGCACATGAGACACCCTGGAAGGTATGGGGTAATGGATTGTTCTTCTGTTTCCAAGGATGTCCAAGTAGGAACATCTGGGGTCACTGATTTTTCTCACTTAATAACATTTACCATTTAATTTTACTGTTGTTTTTTCTTTACTTGGAAAGTTGTGAACTTCTGAAATATCTTAGAAAAGACCAATTAATTATCTCAACTTACATGTACAAAGATCAAAACACAAGAGAAAACGACACACTTCATGTAAGCACGTTGCACCATTGCTGTTTGCAGTTCAGTTTTCTCATGCCTGTACTTTTGCTGGTCCTGGACAAGTAGATTTTCTTGCTGGGCATGTACAATACTTTCCCAGCGGGCAAGGATCTAGCTAGGCAAGTCATCATCTTGTAATGTCATAAAATCATTAACTACATTGTAAGATGAGCAAAAAGTGGTCCCGGGCAAGCAAAAATACAATGTATACAGTGAGAGCTGCTTTCCCAAGAGACTAGCTGCAACTCAAGAATTTTTTTGGCCCTGAAGTCTACCGTCATTGACTTGGAATCAAATTAAGGGCACTATGTGACTGTATAATTTCAAGACTCTTGAACAAGAAAAGAAAGAAGCGGATTAAACAATTAATGATTATCTAATATTTTCTTTCTTTGTTGAATTTCTTTGGCAGCTGGACTTGAAACAGTATGGCATCAAACATCTTCCTGATGACATTAACAAGGGCAAAGTGCAGGAGGTATTACGTCCTTTTTCAATCTTTAAATCCAAGCTTATGGCATCCATTCTCTGCTTTGCTTGTTACAGTGTGGTTGGCATTTTCACCTACATGTATTTTTTATCAGGGCTGTGCTCTAAGAGAGCCCAGTGGCCCCTGGCTCCTAACTTTTGCTCTCAGGCACCAAGAATATCTGCAGTTACCTGGAGGTTGTCACGCCCGTAATGTATGATTATTCTAAGAGAAACTTCAATCTGTACTTGTATGGGGTAGTGTTTGTTGTGTTTTTCAGTCAACTTTTGATGTCCTATTGAGTTTTTCTTTGGTCTTATTGATGGAATCCTGCTCAAAGATATTTTTCCCCTGTCAAAGTTGTCTGTGACTATTAACCCTTTATGTCCTAAAGAGTGCAGATCAGCAGAAAATTTCTCTTTCTAATATCAATGTTTTAAAAAATGGAGTGGTCATTAGAATTGTGTACATGATATGGGGAGATGAGTCTTGATTCTTCAACAAATTCTCCCCACTACTTCTATTGAAAAATTATAGGGACAGTAAATGAGAATCTCAATTTTGAAATTAGGGTTTAAAGGGTTAACACTGATGATGGTTCAAGGGGTACATGAAGCAAGGAACTGCCTGGGTGGTTATGGGGAGTGCAGCTACAGTGTGCATGAAGGTGTAAATGGGTTAATTGAGCGATAACCAATGGGTTAATGCATGCAATTGGGAATTGCATGCATTTTTAACATCCTGGACTGCACAGAGGTGCTGAGGACATCTATATGGGTTACTTCCATGTAACAGTGAAAATATTTAGGTTGCATTGGGGAAAGGTGTGACTGCTTGCGTATGACACCATGATATAGTGAAACAGGAACAAGTAACTTTTGAGAAAAATAGATCTCTGGGTTTTGAAAGTGCACAATAATGTCTCTCTCTCCAAGTGCCAGAAAAGACTGAGCAAAAGGTCCTGTAAACTCATCTGTTTATGGTTGTTTAGGTCGCTTTGGGAAAAGGTGTGACCATTATGTTTGTTTTTTATTTCTTGTTGTTGTTTTCTCTCTCAGGTCACTGGGCCCATGATCCTTCAGGTGCAGAAGCTACGCAACATTTCTGCTCCAAAAGCAAATGAAGAGTCAATCCATGCACCACGACTGCTAAAAATTCAGCTGACAGACGGCCATTTAACATGCCATGGATTAGAAAATTCATCCATTCCAGACCTCAGGTATGAAGTTACTGTAAGTAAGAAATGGTGATTTTCACAGTTCTATACAATGCAGGGTTAAGTACAGTGGAACCTCGATTTAACGGACTGCCAAGGGACTGGGGAAGTTTGTTTGTTATATCAAACACCTCCATGAACAAATTTTCAGGAAAACTACCAAAATGTTTGTTATATCGAGGTACAAACTGTAATAACATTTCAGTACCAAGCTATATATACAACTGTAGCTACTGCACTAGAAATTCAAGAACAGGCAAACGAAACAGCTTAAAACTACCGTACACATATATTTTATCCTTGTCGGTCTGTTTGGCATTCAATTTGTTTTATCACATGCTGACATTTTTTTCATTATATTGAGGTATTTTTATGTTTGTGCTTGTGGATTTTGCTCGTTACAACGAGGATTTCATTAAATCGAGGTGCGTTAAATCATCAAGGTTCTGTTCCTTACATTATACTGAAATTTTGGCCACGCTGAAGAAAATTGTTTGTTATAGTATACCGAGGACTTTGTTATACAGAGGTTCGTTAAATCAAGGTTCCATTTTATTAGGAATTATTTTCAGAGATCAGAGGTAAAAATTTAGGGAAGAAGAATGAATTTAGCCAATAAGTTAAGCTTTCTAAGTAAACAAAACAGCAGAGCCAAGGGAAAATGGCTAAAGAGAGAATGAGAGGACTTTTAAATGAAAAATGGGTCAAAACGTATTATTGCAAGAGAGGGAGAGCAAACAGACTAGTAGGCTGTTACTAATAAGTCTGGTTTATTAATAAAATTGTCGTGCTTAGAAATAAGCAAATTGCAAAATTATTTTACAAAGATATAGATATTAATTAAAAAAGAATTTCAATTTATACTAATAATTAGTTTAAATTGAATTTTTTTTAAGATTTATATCTATATCTTTGTAAGGCCCAGTCCATTTTGAACACAATGTAATTATTACATCGTGTTCAAAATGAACTGGGCCTTACAATAATGAGGAGATATAATATGATAAATTAGATAAAAAACTAGAAACTAGAAAAGGCAGGTACAAAAGTCGGACCTGATCAACTCAGACCACCAGTCCGGGTCTGATCAACTAGGATCGACTTGGACCAACTTGGATTGAATAAAAAAATAAAAATGACGTAAAATTGGACTCGGATAAACTTGGATCATAAAAAAAAACAACTCGGATCATGAAAAGAAAAATAAAATCAGTTGGCATCACATACCTTTCACGCGCCATTTTGTTTTTTTCTCACGAACTCGTGGTTGCATAATTAAATTTTATTTTTATTTTTATTAATTTTAATGACACACTAGTGAGCAGCACACATACACTTCCAGTGAACATTTTCAACTTGGAAGGAGGAGAAACCATGCTCGCCCGGGACAGCAAAAAATTTCGTACCCAGGGCGAGAATTGAACTCATGACCCTCCGAATACTATATCGGACATTCCAACCACTGAACCGGAGGGTCGCGAGTTCGATTCTCGACTAGGTCGACTAGGGCTTGGAAATTTCCTTTGTCCTGGGCGAGCATGGTTTCTCCTCCTTCCAAGTTGAAAATGTTCACTGGAAATGTATGTGTGCTACTCACTAGTGTATCATTAAAATTAAGTTTCGGAAGTCCTGTAGAAAAAAACAAACAGGAACAAACAAACCAACACATCTTCGGTAACTATCTAAATGCGATCAATAGACCAGGCTTTTGATGCTTTTCTCATAAATAATTCAGTACACTAAAAAATAAGCAAATATATACATTCTAGGCGACTGAAACTATCAGAGCAGTGATTGTTTCTTTTGTTTCTTAACAGCTTATCAATTCCTCCTGGCACCAAGATTTCTTTGACAGGTACCATTACTGTCAAGGAAAACTTTCTGATGCTGGACTCAAATAACACCAAGGTTTTGGGAGGAGAAGTAGAAAAACTAAAAGAAAAGTGGGAATTGAATAAGGTGAGCATTAATTTATTGTGACTTTGTAGGGTGGTAAACTGATACACTGTATACTGCAATCAGCCAGCAGATTACGATACCTTTCAGTCGTCGCCCCCAGTTTAAAGAAAAAATGTCTTACCATTACATTACATTGCAGGACAATTAGCAGAGACATTAAAATGTGCAAAAAAGGCAATAATGAAACAGAAAGTTTGCATACACTGTACATCTTTTGAGATGAATCTTGCATCCTTAATAATCTGTACACCCAATTTCACATCAAGAATTTACTCATTTTATTATTTTGGGTAGAGGGTGTAGCTTGTTTTATTTTGTATTTTAATTTGTACTAATTTTTTGTGCACTAATCAAAAGTGGTTGAATATTTTAGGTAAAGTTTCTTTTCTACATTTTTGGTTGACTTCTGAAGTAAAAGGGGGCAACTTTTGGCAACTCCCTGTATCACTAAAAAAAATTTATTATATAAACACCGATGAAATGCCAGGTGAGCTTTCGCACAAAAACATGATATCTTCACATGTGAAAGTAACATGTTATCTTCTCATGTGAAAATATCCCCGTTGCTAAGGCCACATAATAAATCGCGCCTTTCACACCGAAAAACTATTAAAGTGAAATGGTTTGGTATTTCATATTATAAGCACAGGCAGGAAATTGTTTGAAGTACATTATTTTACAGAACAATAACAGGACATTGCTGATCCTAGCAGTATGCAGGACGCTTGTCAAATCTGAACCTACTATATGGCCTTGCTCTCCATGAGTTCTCTGTAGCTCAAGTGGATAGAGTGCTCACCCAGTGTTTGGGATGTCATAGGTTCGAACCCTGTCAGGGACTCAGATTATTTTTTTTGTCCCACGCTCGTGACATGCTGATTATTTCATTTTCACAATAATAGCTTATTTTGTTTAACTGTAGACCTTAGCAAAGCATTCACGTATGGCTGTCAGCGGTGATGGGCCTCCTCCATTTGTTCCATTTGGTCAAGGACTGCAGACTGGTATTGATAGCAAGGGAAGATCTTCTGACAGCACAAAAGGTGATTAGCATTCTAATATAGAAAAAAAATTCCACTTATTTGAATAACTCTGGCTTTCCAATAGCCGGCCCACAGACGTTATTCTATTTTTTACCCCAATAATTGGACAGTACACAAGTGGGCAAGGAGTGTGAGAACGAAAAAAAGGAGAGGATCGTCTATTTTCTTTGTTCCGGACTCCTACCACCTTGGGCTTGCTGTGGTTTTTATTTTCATACAGGCTTGATGATCTCCAGAGAGAGAGAGAGAGAGAAAAAAAAAGGTCTCAGTCATGTTCTACATGTGAGGGGTTCCGGGAAAATAGTACTGTTATATCATGTTATCTCTTTGAGAAAGGTTTTAGATTTCTCTCAACAAGAATTTCATTACATTAATATTTTGCTTAATAGACCTCTTCAGCTTGGTATGTGTTGTGGTTCATTTTTGTCTCTGGTTTGAATTTAATTTTCCTTGTTTCAGACTCATTATCATGTATTTAATGTACATTACACCGGAAAAGTAATACATTTACACCCGGATTTAATTTTTTCTTGTTTCAGACTCATTACCATGCATTAAATGTACATTACACCTGAAAAGTAATAAATTTACACCCGAGATTAATTTGAACCACAACATAAATAGAAAGTGTAATACAAGGGATCCATCCTGACAAGTGGATAAGTCTTGCAGAAATCGATGTTGTTATTGATTGGGGAGGGACTTATCTAGTGAATAGGGTCATCTTTTAAACGTCTGGGGCGTGGTCTCTGGAGTATACCGTAAATGACCTAATAAACGTCTCCTCTACTATACGCTGTTAAAATTTTATTAGAAGCCCTGTTGAGAACTTTGCCCCGTTCACTAGGGTTTCCAGATCAACGAAAGCTACACTAAGACAATCAGTAGAGTCGATTGTATTTAATCACTTGGCTCACTTGTATTCGCTCGTTACAGCAGTTGTGCAAGAGCTACTCTCTCAAACATGGAAAAGAACGCTCGATTTCATACTAGTATACATTAGATATGATTGGTTGTTGCTAGGCGATAATCAGAAAAAGGTCAATCAATTCTTGCAGCTAAAGTGTTCATTGTCTCATAAAATCTAGACCTAATTTAAACATCCGTGTCACTATATTGTCACGTAACATGAAGTCTCCGACACACTCCCCCATGCAGCATTGCATACAAGGGTGCATTCAATACTCAGGAGACTGAAACACCTATTTTTACGATTCCGAACATAATCAAAGGCTAGATCGAAAACTTCGCTAGTAATCACTCTGTTCAAGTTCAAAATTGTTCAATTTCTTCATTATAAGCAATCTCCTTTATTCTGGCAGCTGCCGCAGCCGCAGCGGTTCTTCTCGGTCTGAAAATTGGCGCGTTATGGTTCAACCGCCGTTCTGTTCCTGCTGGCACTGTGGGTTCGCACTGCAACTCCAACGGGTACAGGTGCTGAACAGGACGCTCTATAACTCCCTTACTGGTTCTCAGCTGCACTGCACGGATGTGGCCGTCACGTCCTGGGTAGGTCTGTTGGACAATAGCTAGTGGCCACTTCCCTCGATTCTTGCTGTCTGATCGTACTAGCACAGTGTCGCCAACTCTGACTCGATAATTTGCCGTTTTGTGTACCAGGTTGTGGCGCTCTCTCAGGGCGGTTAGGTACTCACGTTGCCATCGGTTCCACATGTGATCTTTGCAGGTCTGCAAATATTTAGCTCGTCTGCGCAAATTCGGGTCTTGAATTCTCCAGGCCTGTTCCTCAGGAAGCTGGTTGGTTCGTTGGAACATAAGGCTAGCCGGCGTCAGGATGGGCAGCTCAACATCGTCTTCAACGTAACCGAGTGGGCGACGATTAACCTGAGTCTCTACGTCCAGGATTACTTCATTCAATTCGCTCCAGGACAGTGTAGCTCCCCCTATGACCTTGTACATCGCTGTTTTCACAATTCCGATCAGGCGTTCAAATTGGCCGCCCCACCAAGGGGCGCGACTTAGGTTGAATTTCCACTGTATGTCATGGGACTCCAGGAATCCTTGCAACTGCTCGTCGCTTCGTACTTGCTTCAACCACTTGGCAGCTTTGACAAACGTGCTACCATTATCAGAGTAAATGACAGCCGGACGTCCTCGTCTGGCTATGAGGCGTTTGAGACATGGCAGGAACGTACTAGTTTCCAGGTTGGGAACCAGCTCTAGGTGTACTGCTCTCGACAGACTGCAAGAGAATATCACCAGGTATGCTTTCCCTTCTCGTTTCTGGCTCAGTCTGTAGTAGATTGGTCCCGCAAAGTCTGTTCCGATGACTTCAAAGGGAGCCCTGCCATGGGTACGGTCTGTAGGTAGCGGTCCAGGGGGTGGTACTGTTAAAGGTAAAGCTCTGAAACGTTTACAGCCCCAACACGCGGATCGCACAGACTTAACTAGCTGTCTCAGAGTTGGGATCCAGTATTCTTCACGGATTGCTGCCATGGTGAGGGATACACCCCCATGTAAGGTCTCGGCGTGCGTACGCTGTACAAGCTTTCTTGTAAATAGGCTACCAGCTGGCAAGTAGACTGGGTACTGTCCTTGAACTCTGCCATGACATTCGAGTACCCCGTCAGCATTTGGAACGAGGTTGAGTTCACGCTTGGTCTGTTCAAAGTAAGGCTTTTTCGCGTCTTGGGACTGGACCCTTCTTATCCACCAATTCTTCGACTCTTGTATGTCTTCGCTAGTTAGTGGTCCTTTGCGCGCTCTGTGAGTTGTGAAACGTCGCACCCAAGCTTGGATGCGTAGAGTTCGACGGAGATCATGTCGCTCGAGGAGTTCGTCGAACACGTTTCGTTCTTGTTTAGGTTGTACTTTTGCTAGGCTAAGCACTTCTCTGATTACTTTCGCCTCTTCTTCAGAAGCTTGAGTTTTTTCTGTAACTGGGTTCTCTGGCCAATTTTCTGGATGACGCAGCCATGATGGGCCATTCCACCAGAGCTCTGCATTAGTAACCTGGCCTCCTCGGCTCGCTAAGTCTGCTGGGTTATCGCTAGTAGGCACGTGTCTCCACTGAATCTGTGGGTGTTGTTTTATCTTCTGCACGCGGTTAGCGACGAACTGTCGGTACAGACCATTTCCTAGTATCCAGTGGAGGGCGACGGTGCTGTCCAGCCAACCGTAGACCGTGGGCTCAGGTAAGTCTTTCAGCGCGTTTCTCACGTTCACAACTAAGTTGGTAGCCATGTGGGCGCTGACCAACTCCAACCTTGGTACGGTTAGGTTTCTTTTGGCCAATCTTGCTTTTGCCACTACAAGGGTTTGTGTGATTCCATCTTCTTGGCGTACGACCGAGTACACCGCTACTCCGACTCCATGGGTCGATGCGTCTCCGAAGACATGTAGCTCGAATGAGAGAACTGGTTGCTGATGTGGCGCAATAGGTCTTCGTATGGTTACTTCGTCTGGGAGTGAATGTTCCCACTTAAGCCATCGTACTCTGAGATTCTCTGGGATAGGTGCGTCCCATGCTGCTTTGTAGTCGCACACTTCGCGGTAGATTTGTTTGCCTTGCAATGTCACAGGGCTAACCAGGCCGAGAGGGTCATACACTTTCGATAGTTTGGCCAATACTTCGCGTTTTGATATTGCGCTACTTGTGTTTACGACGGGAAACTGTACAGCGATAGTGTCCTCAACCTTGTTCCACTTGACTCCTAATAGTTTTGATTCACTTGGCTTGACTTGCAACTGTTGCTTTGCGTACGACTGCTCTTCGGCTTCTGCGGGAGAGTTGGCGCTCTTTTCACGCGTTTTAAGCTGGGTACTTTGTATTTCTGTTTCTTGTTGGCGGCTATCTTCTTCAAGCTCTGGACAGTTGGAATGCCACTTGTGTAGCTTGAATGTGGCGTCACTCATGATCTCTTGCGCTATCTCTTTTCGCGCTTTAGTTTGCTGCTCGTTTTGACCGCCTGTTAACAAGTCGTCTACGTAGAAACTTCGGCGCAACCGTTCAGCCTCTTCTGGATATCTCTGCGCCCAGCTATCGAAGTGGTATTCAAGCACACCGCCCAGCAGAAAAGGCGAAGGGCCAAGCCCAAAGAGCACACGTGTGAACCTGTAAGTCTCCACTTCAGAGGTGCCGTCAGTCTGCCAATGGAATCGGAGTGCATCTCGTTCGCTCTCATGGATTCGAATCTGTAGGAAAGCTTTCTGTATATCTCCCGCTAAGACTACTGGGTAGGCTCTCTGTTGGACGAGCACGTCCCATAGTCTGTTCTGAAGTGGGGGTCCTGAGTACAAACAGTCGTTCAGTGACGGGGAATTGGGTGTCGCTCGGGCAGAGGCGTCATAAACAATTCTCATCTTTGTGGTTTCAGCGGACTTGCGAATTACGCACTTGTGAGGGATGTAGAACTCCTTTTCTGGCTGGGAAACAGGGGGTGCCTTTTCGATAACTCCTTCAGTCAGCTGCTCCTGAATAATACCATTGTATTTGACAGTAAGTTCTTCACGTTGGAGTTTTCTGGTCAGGTTCTTAAGTCGCTTGAGGCTGCCTTCCTTGTTTGAGGGTAGTGGTGAGTGATTTGCCTTCCACGGCAAGGTAGTCTCGTACCAGCCCTCTTGCGAACGCGTTAATTGCTCTTTAAATTCTTCGTACACCATTGCCCTGGTCATGATCGGCCACGTCACGTAATCCCAAGACGTCTAGTTTGCACAAGTCCTCATAGTCGCTTTGACTTGTTTGGGTAAACAGCATGATGTTTTTGTCGAACTCCTTTCCAGGGGACATAAGGAACCATCCGAACCTGGTGAGTTCCGCTACGGGGTCATTTTCTCGTCCGATTCTCGGTTTCGTTTCAGTTTTGATTCTGGCATACTCTCCGCTGTCAAGCACCACGTGGACCGGAAGAGATGCTTTCGTGTCATCATCGTTGACATGTACGCCTTTCAAATGTGAGTACTTTTCAATTAGCGTGCGATAATGAATGATTTTCCAGTAATCGGATACCCATGTTTTGTGCACAGGATTCTGGCATCGCCAGGGGGCAAGCATTGCGAGTCGCTACAAAGAAATGTATGGCGTGGAGCTGTTTCTCCGGTAAAAGCAGTGTCTTTGGACAGAGAATGCAACATTTTGCCGTGATTTTATGAGAAGCGGAGGTGACTAATGTTGGTGCGAAGAAATTGTAAGTTTTGAGGGATCAATGCGATGAAATCTATCGATAAACACTGATCCTTGCAAAAGTCGACTGTGAATTTACTGAATGGTCTCGAAATATATAGTACTAACTTAGGTATAAATGAGCGGGGAATGCGGACTCATTTAAGCCTTTCCAGTTGTACTTACATGTGCTCATATTTACAACGAGTGTAATTACGTTTCGCTCGGCGGCGATCACAATGCTGTGCCGGTTTGTGACGACGATCGAAGGTAAGCTTATGTATTGTCGAATTTGATATATATTAAATTTAAAAACAAAAACATCTTCCGCACATTAGTATATTGATTTCTTCTCGCCAAAAAAACACAAGCGAAATGTTTTGTCATGATCCTGAGAACCGATGAATTCTAATGCGTTTCCCAATCATTTCGAGGGAAGATATAGAATCTCTGAATTTCGCACATCAACTTGGTATTTATTTTCACACTCACCGCTTTTGTGTCGGAAATCTTACTCATTTGTACGATTTCTGCCTCATCTACTAATGGTTCAATACCATGTACTTTCCGTGAAATATTTTGTAGATGTCACTTTTGTTTATACCAAAGTAAAGGAGGATTTTTTATTTTTATGGCCACGTACATACCTACGAACGTTGTCTTGTCATAACCCGCAAAGCGCCGCACAGCGCTGATCGCGGCCGAGCGTAGTTACACTCGTCGTAAATATCACCACACGTAATTATGGCTTAAACGCTTAAATGAGCCAATCCCCCTACATGTATACCTAAATTTGCACTATATATTTCGAGACCTTTTCTTCGAATTCTTCATGTCTGTGTAAATTCAGTGAACATAAATTTCACACTCAATCTCACGCAAGGAGTGTTTATCGATAGAATTTATCGCATTAATCACACAGAAACTTGAACTTTCAACGCACCAACATTATTCACCTCCGTTTCTCATAAAATCACGGCAAAATGCGGCATTCTATGTCCAACGACACTGCTTTTAACGCAGAAACAACTCCACGCCATACATTTCTTTGTAGCGACTGGCAATGTTTGCCCCCTGGCGATCCCAGAATCCTGTGCGCAAAACATGGGTATCAGATTACTGGAAAATCATTCATTAGGGTTGTCAATAGACAACAGTTCTGTCTTGTTTACTTTGGTCGCTTTGACTGACAGCGAATATTGATGGTCAACAGATTGTAATTCAAGATCGTAGACTTCTAGTCTGGCAACTTTTGAAGACATTAGCATATCGATTGTTTTTGTCTGGATATCAGCAGGCTTCAGGCGAAGTAATTCGATCAGTTTCGCTGATACGTATGAGCTCCCAGCTCCTGAATCGATGAGTGCTCGACATTTAATGCCATTGACTTCTATCACGATGACAGGAAACAAACCCTCTCCGACTTGGTTTGTAGTCAAGGCGACCCCTCTCGTAGGTGTTGGCTGATTAGTTTCTTGCCTGGGTGCATCACAAATGGACGTGTGGTGACGCTTGCGGCATTGCTGGCAGGCGGATTTGCTGGGACAATAGACGGCGCGATGGTTTCCTGCGGTGCAGTTGAAACACAGACGTTTGTTGAGGAGAATTTGTCTGCGATCAGAGACATCTGTCACTTTTGTACATTCGACGGCTTTGTGATCTTCGCCGCAGTACACGCAAGGCCAACAGCGGGGTTTTAAATCGGAGCCACGACGCGTGTGGTAAATTCTTGCCTGCTGGCGTAAGTTCTGTTTTGCTGTTTGTTGTTCTGTTTGTTCGCGCTGGTTTGTATCTGCCGGATTCCTCCTGGTCCACAATCGAACTGCCTCTGAAAGTTTCGCAAGGTCCCAGCTTTCCCAGCTTGGGTCGATCCGGACGAGATCTCCACGGATCGCTGGCAATTTGTCTAAAGTCATGGAGGCCGCTCCATTGACCTGTTCCAGTTTGTTTAATGTCTGTAGAGCTTGCACGCAATACGTTAGCTTTTCGCTAAATTCACCAATTTTCCTCGGGTTTGCGCTTGAAATTGAGGGGAGATCCAGAATCTCTTTGATGTAGGCTTTGACGATTTCTGACTCCTTTCCGAACCTCTCGTTTAGGATACTCCTCGCCCGATTGTATCCCTCTGCTGTGAAGGGCAACGCCTCTATTGTTCTTTTTACTTTGAAGTCCAATAGTTCTCGAAGGTAGGAAAATTTCGTGATCGGTGGAACGCTCGTTTTATCGATTGTTTCAGTGAACTGTCCCCAAAATCGTGGCCAGTCTTTGTAGGTACCGTCGAACTTCGTTATCGTCAGTTTAGGCAGCTTAGCTTGTATGTCACTTGGCGTCGTCATCGCTTCTTGGGGGTGTGCCGTAGCTTGGATTTCTGCCTGCATCTGTATCTTCGCTTTGTGGAACTTAAGTTCTTCTTGTTTGACAACTGTTTCTGCTTCTCTTTTTCGGTCATCAACCCATGTGCGCATTTTATCCACTTCGTAATCTGCCTTTTCCAGTTGTGCGTCAATCCCGCTATTCCACGCCTCGATGTCGGCAATCTCTTCCTTCGCTGCTAGTTTTGTCGCCTCCACTTCTAGACGCATTCGATTAATTTCTGTAGTGAGGGACCGTAAGGTGGAAAGATGCCTCTCGATCGCTTCTGCCTTCCCTGCTTCTACGATGGTGTTCGTTTTTCCAATGCTCATTTTCAGCTGTGTGACCTTGATATCCAGATTTGCTTGGGTCGCTTCCATCTTCGCACGGGCAGAAAATCAGGACTAATTATACTTACAACAGTTGTTCTTATCCTTCTACAGTCCCGTCGGAGGTGCCACTTGTTGAGAACTTTGCCCCGTTCACTAGGGTTTCCAGATCAACGAAAGCTACACTAAGACAATCAGTAGAGTCGATTGTATTTAATCACTTGGCTCACTTGTATTCGCTCGTTACAGCAGTTGTGCAAGAGCTACTCTCTCAAACATGGAAAAGAACGCTCGATTTCATACTAGTATACATTAGATATGATTGGTTGTTGCTAGGCGATAATCAGAAAAAGGTCAATCAATTCTTGCAGCTAAAGTGTTCATTGTCTCATAAAATCTAGACCTAATTTAAACATCCGTGTCACTATATTGTCACGTGACATGAAGTCTCCGACACACCTCTCTAATAAACGCCCCCTGTCTCATAGACGTCCCCCATGGGAATGACTTCAAAATACTAGGAATTAGCAAGAAGGTGAAAAATCATCCAATTATTCAGTTTCTTGCTGGATTAACGAGGCTTTGCGTATTTCATCTTGTTCGATGTCAAGTTTAAAGGAAGGATAGACTAACGATGGCAACAGGCCCATTCATACGAGGAAAAATAAGACGCGAACTGTACCATTCTTGACTCGTTTTCATGTGAATTTTGCCCTTAGCAAAGGCAATCCAACATGGCGCGCGTTTCAAAGTTACGGCGTCATGTTGCGATTTGCCGCAGAGGCAATATTTTGAAGACCTTTTTAATGAAAATGGCGGAGTCTTCCAGGAGGTCTGCTATTGCCCTCTCCTTGCATAACAAAAAATCATTTTCTTCAGCGGTGGACCACGTGTTTCGTTTTTCCTTTGTCGGCGTGCTCATTTTACTTGAGCGAAGAAACAAATAAAGCTTAAAAGTCTAGTTGGCAACTCATGGAAACGAAAACGCTTTGTAATTTGTAAACAACGTTTCCCTGCCAGTAGCCTGCCAGTCCACCGCGAGGCAAGCGAAAATTTTCCCGCCAAAAATTAACGCATGCGTACTATGCGTTTGCGTCTTACGTAAGACGCGAAGGTCATTTATACGACGTTTTTCTCCTCTTAGCTAAGACGCCTCTTATCTAAGAACAGGTGTTAAGGGCTGTTCTAAAATAAGACGCGTCTTAGCTGAGTCGCGTCTTATTTTAGACGAAATGTGCCGTTTATACGGAAAGTTCGCGTCTTATTTTTCCTCGTATAAATGGCCCTATTATGGATCTCTGGACGGCCTAGAAGTATCAATTGATAGAGTGGACATTCCGCTATTTGACTTCCTTATAATGCAACTGAATTATTTTCTTACGTCATAGTTAATGGCATAGTTCAAAGTAGCACAGAGAAACCCAGGAACCACCAAAGCAAGGACTCTAACCCGCCATCAAAAGCCAGATCATTCGATAGCAGCAGGAATAACAGACCCACCAATCATGATAACAGGGACAGTGGATACAAGAAAATAAATAACAATAATAACGGGCAAGACAGCAGAGTTGAGGACAGGAAGGGTACAGGTGACAAAACAAATAACAGATTCACAGCTGAAGAAAGACCAAGTTTGACTCATTCAAAAGAAAGAGAGGGTAGATCTGTTAATTCTGAAGCAGCAAACAATGACAGGTCAAGACAGGGCTTTAATCCAACAGATGAAAACAGAAATAACAGCAGAACAGAGCAGAGGAGTGAGAGATCAGAAAAGCCACCATCCAGAACTCAGGTGAGCTTACCCTTTTTATTCGATTAAACGCCGCGGCGTTTATTGAAGTTAATTCAATGGCGGCGTTAATTTTAAAATCACATTTCGTAAATCACTAAAGTCAATTACGGTAAATCATTTGTAAATGTTATGTAAAACAGAAAGATATTTAAAGTTCCAATATCGCGCCTTATGGCCGAGAAATAATCGCGATTGTCTGGTTGTTTTAGATTTATAATCCCTTGAACAGACGGCGTATTGTTTTGATTGGGTGTGACATTTATGCGAATTCGGCGATTATTGATAATTTGTTTCAATCTGCGGCGTTTACTGGAGGGCGGCGTTTAATCGAGTAAATACAGTATTCTTGTTGGTCATCGGATAACTGGTCTGACACTGATGATGTCTTTCCGACAAAGCCAATATAAAAGACTATGTAGGATCTGCATGGTGAATTGCACGTGTGAATTGTCTTTCCATAGTCTTGATTGGTTTGCTAATGCAAATGTGTAAATACAGTTTTGAAGCTTAACAAGGTCATCATCATTTTTGACAGGAACCGAGCAGGGGTGGTGGGAGGCTGCGAGGCCGTGGTGGAAGGCGTGATTCAGGAGGTAAACTTTTTCACTTAACCCCGCTTGCGTGTTGACCGCTGTCAGATGAGAAAAATTTGCAAATACTAAACTCGGTATTTAAGGCTTTTCTCGTGTTGTCCCTACATCCCAAGTGGGTTAACACGTCGGTAAACCCATACAAAGTGTGATCCATTGCTTTTATAAAATAACTTGAAGTAAAACGGAGTCTTATAGTGTGATTTCTATACCGCGATCAAGTCGTGTCTTCTCTCTTAAGTCATCATAAACTAATCATGACTCACGATTTATAGCGCCGAATTTTCTCAAAACTCAGTTCAGTCAAACAAAGAACAGTAGCACTTCACAAAACGAGTTTTTGCACTCATTACATGAGGACTTATGAAAGATGTTTTACAGAAAAAGTCAACAGATATTCATGTTAATTTACAGTGGAAGAATACGTTCATGGTTTGGTTAAAACAGAAAGAGAAGGTTGGACATCAATCTGTTTTGTTGAGTCGATCCGTAATTTCGTGTTGACAGACAGAACTGGCAGCTTTTGTATTTTAGGGCGAAGGAAGAAGATTCGTAACCCTAGCCTGTAGCCACCTTCAACACGTACCAGAAAGTACACGGAGCTGATGCCATTAAGGCCGACTGTGGTTGCTGAAACTGGTTGCTGAACAATAACACGAGACGAAAATCGTTGTTTTACTGCGCTTATCGTTTCTTAAATTACAAACAAATTCTCCTCTCCATCACCATGGAAATTGTATGGAAGATGGTGTGGAGAATGTGCCTTTTGATATTTTCCTTTGTTGCCCTATATGAACAGGAAGGTTAAGAGGTGAAAATGAGGATGTTGATGATGTGGAAGACTATAGAAGTAGGCAGCCTTCGGAACCAGCTCTCTGGGATTTTCTGTCCACGAAATTTCCAGCAGTTAAAGGTTTGTTCCATTTGATGTGGTTGAAAAATATAAAACGGCAGGTTTTAAAAATTGTCATTTTATGAAAGAATATAGATAAAAAGCTTGCGGTCATTATCTAGTGCGATTTGAAATCAATTTGAAAATTCTAAGCTGAAACTTTGTGTTTTATCTTTTATTTGGTAATCTTTTCTTGTCATTCTCATAAAGTGTTTTACCAAGGTTTATGTTACACTTGTGTAGATCATAATAAAGATGTGACGTCATGAAACACAAGCTTGTGGTGTTACTGTGAAGTATTAACATTTATGGTATCACTGCCTTGATCTACTTGTACAATATGGCGCCAACAGTGGAAACTTTGATCTTTCCTTTTTTCTCGCTTTTTTAGCGTTGAAGGTTTTTGGCGCTCCATTGTCTGGACAGTAGCTGTCATCAAATGAACGTAGAAGAATTTTTTGACGTGTTGGTTTAGAAAATATAATGTCTACATTTTTTTTCAGTGCGATTTTAATGCAATGTGACTTTCTGTCATGGTCTCGAAAGGAGACGAATCTACATGAATTGACAATTGTTTTCGAAACGAAATGTTGTTATTTCTGTTGTTGACACCCTCCTCCTTAGTTCGTCACGATGCAACATTTGTCTTAACACCTTTACGTTACATAATCTTACAGATACAAAGAACGAAAAGCCTCTGAAGTCAATAGAGAATCAGAAGACTGATGAAGCACAGCAAGAAAGACCACCCCCTAGACCACCACCTAAACCTGACAATGATTTCAAACCAAGACAGCAGAAGCAAGATCCTAGGGTGGAGAAAAGCGAGAATGCTTCTCCTCCGAGACAACAGCAAGGTGATGGACAGGGTGAATATGCCACTCCCAGAGCAGTGGAGAAACAAAGGCAAGAATCGTCAGCGCAACACAGAGATGGCAGACAACAGGGGAAGTCACAGAGGGAGCCGTATTATAAACAGCAGCAGAACGCTGGGCAGACAAAGGGGAAGGGTTCTAGAAGACATGATCATGATTCCAGACCATATAATCAGAGCTTACCACCAAGGCTGCAGAAGAAGCAACAACAGCAGCAGCAACAACGGCAGCATCATCAGCATTACCAGCATCATAATCAACATCAAACCGAGACAGAAGTCAGCAATGACGTGACAGAAACTAACGCTGTGAGCACGCCTTCCGTTGCCCAGGAAGATGATGCTATAATAACATTCAGTGCAGCGTCTGCCCTTCGCCAAGCTGAGTATGTAGAAGAACCGCCAAGTCAAATGTCACAACAAGTGCAGTTTCAAGAACCTCAGGGTGTGCCATACAGTGGTCAGCAGTTTGCAGGGTCGGGAGGGCAGGGCAAGTGGCAAAGGAATACTGAGCATTATAGGCGGACTAGTTTTACCCCTCCCAACGTTCAGCAACAGCAGCAGCAACACTTGGAGTTCGTGAGCATGGCTATGGAGACCCAGCGTTCCCAAGCTGCACAGTTTGTGATGAGTCAAACACAACCGTACTTGGAACAGGGTGGGCAAGAGCAGGCGGATATGAACTTGGTGCAGGAATATCAATACGCACAGCAAACCCAACCTCCTGTTCAGGCTTACCCAGTGTATCAACTCCGTCCTGCTCAGTTGCCTCAGCAGCAGATGATGCCACAGCAGACCATTCCACAGCAACCAGTAGCTGCTCCTATGGCAGCAACACAGGTGTTTATTTTTCACTGTTTTCTATCAGAACCATGGTGTCTTTGAATAGCGTTAGCGTTAATGCTGGAATTAGCGCTCTCCATCAATTTACCGCCTCCATCCGAATCACCGCGCCCCTTTAGTCTATTACTATTTTAATTTAAATTTTACCCCTTTGAATAAGCGCCTCTCCCCTCCTTAAAACCCGTTCTGACTGAAAATACGGTATGAAGTATGTTTGTCTTTATTGAATGTAGCATCACAAGTACGATCACTGGAGAATGACCCAAGTGAGGACATCGCACGGCCTATGTCACTGATGCTGTTCCTCTGACAATAATGCGTGAGACAGAGTTTAGTCACAACAGAATGCTCAGGGCTAAGAATATGCAACACGTCAGCGCGAACACGAATTTTGGCTATATGCTGAAAGACACCTTCTAGTTTTCCTGTTTAAAGTTCCTGCTTTCGTTCATTTGAAACAAAGATAAATGCCATCTACACAGTAATTTTTAGGGAGTTATGATAACTCCAAAAATGGAGTAAAACTTTTAGTTACAGGATAACCTCTTTTTGGGGGTTACTTTAACTCCTAATTCAACTCCAAATTTGGGGTCATTTTTACTCCTGAAAAAGAGTTCTTTTTACTCCTTTTTGGAGTTAAAATAATTCCCCAAAAATAACTCCACTGTAGGAAGTTAAATTAGCCCCACTAGAAGAGTTATTATAACTCCTTGAAAATTACTGTGTAAAGGGCGAAATTCTGGGAAATGATATAAGCTCCCCCATTCAAATAATAGTAAGACCCCTCCCCTTTGATTTAGCGCGACCCCTCACGAGTAAAATAATTAAATACCTGGACCTGGGCTTAAATAAGCAGTCCAACTCAGAGATTGTTTCTATTTATTTTCAGGTTGGTTGGAAGAAGGGAGATCACTGTTTGGCACTTTGGAGAGATGGGCAGGTAATTGACGTTTTCTTTCTATTGATTGCTTACCATATTCTCATGGAGGACCGCGATATTCGTGACCTTTAGTTTTGAAACGAGACTGAATCAGTACGAGGTCGAAATTTTGAGCCAACGGTATCTCCGGCATTCTTTAATACTCCTTGCTGTCACTAATTGTCACATAGAGAACTTGAGGGGTAGGACTAGTATTAATAACAAGTGATCATTTGTCACACGTGAACTTGGATTGAAAACTCGTACTTGATCTCGAAGACCTAGGGCTGGTTCCTCGAGAGTCCCGTTCTCTCTTAATGTTTTTAATCCTGTTATGTTGTGTTTGAATTATTTGTTTCTAAGTATTTGAGTGGAGTACCTCTAAACTAGCTGGATAAGCTAAGTGCACTCTTCACTATAAACAAGCCTTTAAACTTGTTTTATTTTGTTGTTGTTATTGCGCACGGATGGAAATTTCAAAGTCAAAATCTCCAGGAAAACGGGCACGGTTGGTAGCTAACAAACCAGTCCTTTTTGTTTTATTAACTGATAGCTGTATCATGTCCTCTGCAAAGCTCTCTTAATATCTGGATATCGAATGTAAACACAGCAAACGTAAAGGAGATTTATGAGCCCAGTAGTTTCTGGCACTGTCGAAACAGCCCCTAATCAGATCTCGAAGATGGTCTTTTAGAATGTTGTAAACGAAGTAAATGGGGTGGGGTCCAAAGGACGAACATTTAACATCACGGAAGCAAGGAAAATTTGATTGAAGATTAAAAAGAACCTACGAAGCCGAGGTGATATGAAGGTGCCTTGGGGACGAGGCTTGTTATGAGTTGTTCGTAAGTAGGCTCTTTGAGGAACTTGGTCACGTGCTTGGATACCACTTAGCAACGACTCGGTGGATGGTAAGTCGTCCAAGTGTTCATTCAGATCTCAAAGCTTGTCGTGCGATCGGACGAGGCCTTCGTACGTTAATTCAAACTTCTTTAATTACAGAAAGATTAGACTAGGATACATTTTTAACGGAATGCTTCGCTTGATCGCAATCGAAGCTTTGTGATGGGAATGAACGTTTGTAAGTTGTATCCTAGACTTGCCCAGAAGTCGAGCTCAAAATCTTCTCAAGCGCAAAGCGCGAGCTAGAAATTTGTTATGTTTTCGGTGGCAAAGCGAGAGAGAGAGCGCTGGGGCATACTACCGGAACCGCAAACGAGAAGCGAAGGACTTTGAGAAAGTCGTAGTCGTATCCAAGCACATGACCAAATTCTGCAAAGTGCTCTTTGACAGGGTTACCGGTCGTTTCGATACAAACTCGTTTCGATAAAAATTTATTCAGTCGACTTGTGAATTGTTTCACGTACTTGGCAAAATGTTTTTCTTGTTTATGCGCAAGCTTTTCTTGAAATGACCGAAATCTTTGTGCAATTTCACTGCTTGAGTTTGTATCGAAACGACCGGTTTCCCTTGACAGTAATCAATGTATTGTCATATCTTGGTAGTATTACAGTGCTAAGATGGAGGACCTGATGCCAGACGGTGTCAGCTGTTTGGTATCTTTCTTGGATTTTCATAACAGCTGTGATGTTGTGCCTCTGTCGTCCTTGCGACCTTTTCCTATCATTGCCTGGGTAAGAGCTTAAAAAGTATTCTTTGAATGCGCATTTACATCACAGAAAGATTACGCCTATTACATTTTCGCAAGGAGCTGTATGCTGTATGCTGTTTGCGGTTACCAGAAACTATACCGATGTGTAGTGTTATCTTTGTGCAATACAATATGGTAATGCATTACAATCATTGTTTTATTCCCATTTACCAACAAACATACAAAGCTATCTATTTTGATACAAATTTACTCAGAGCAGACAAAGTGTGAGTTGTTCAAACTTTATAGGCTCATACCTGAAATTGGAACTGATTACTCTTTAGCTTTAGTTCCAGGATCACTGATAATAACTTTTTGTGTTAACTGATTTAGTTAAGTCTTTTGTTGTGAATTCTCGAGCAGGCTTAAGATTAAAAGGCGCGAATCGTGTGTTCTGATTGGCTTCCCAAGCGGGGTAGATAGGTCCATCATTTCCCGTGTTGGACGCGCAAGAAAACGTTCTCCTCTTTGGCCATTTAATGGATCCTTTATTGACCAAATGATGGCTGGGTATTGGCCTTGGTCTTATTTGGCGTTTTTATTGACCTCGACTTTGTCTCGATCCATAATTGGTTGATATCCAGTCATCTTAACCTCACGTTTGTTCAGTAACGCATATGTCTTTTTCAGGGAGACAGTGGCAATTCACAGCCCCAACCAACAGGAGCTATTGCCACGGTACCTTACTATACACAAGCAACACCCGTCAACATCGTGTCCAGACCCCAGATGGTCATCCCCGTCAGTGGACAGCCTCCATTCCATGCTGGGACGAGACCAACGTTTGTTCACTCGGCCCAAGTCCCACCTCAAGTTCACTGGCAGCCTGCAACGATGCAGTACCAAGAAGTGCGGGCGGCAGCCTTCCAGCCTGTAATGCATTATGGGGCTGTGCCACAGGCATCCGCAGGGGGTCCTGGTCAGGCACCTTATGGAGTCCCTACCGGAGGTGGTATGCATTACGTCAGAGGCGTCAAGGATATCCAAGGACAAGGTGTGAGATATTGAAACAGCAAACACAGATCATTTTATCTACAAAATAGGCACAATTATAGTAATGCCTTCAGATGTTTTTTGTGATGCTAGGGGCTACATACTGCTTATTCTCGAATTAGTGTCCTCCCTCAAATAAGTGCCTCATCTGAATTAGCTTCCCCGGCCCTTCTGAGGCTAAAAACATTGATTTAGCACCAACTTTGCGAACCCGTTTACCGTACCTTAGAGAGACTTCTCACTCACTCAGCTTAATACTGTAGCGGCACTTTTTGGTGACTGTCAATTATTCAGCTTTGCCCGCAGTCCAAATCTCCAGGGCCGGGTTTTTCCAAGCTGCGTTAAGATAATCCAGGATTAGTGCAAAATTTAAACTCAAATATGAGAGCTTAAAAAACAAGTTCAATTTATTTCTCTTTGCCTACAATTTGATGATTGGATAGTCTAAAAAGAATATAGAAAATTATCCGAGAGAGTGCTTTTGATAAAAGGAAAAACCTGGGTTAAAATTTAACCCCGGGTTAGCGCTAACCGGCGTTCGAACAACTGGGCCCAGGTTGCTATTAAGCATGCGCGGCCCTCATGTAACCAGCATTTGTTCGGCCTTCCACTAAAGATAAATGGATGCAAAAAGCGCTCCCACTTCCGCGCATAAATTCGATCACAAACGCTTGCTACGCAGGCTATCATTAGCATACTTGGAATGTCTGTGTTGTATCGCTTTCTTACAGATGTGTACAGCAGTAACCCTGAAGGTGGAAGAGGAAGATCGAGTCCAACTTCAAGTGGTTATTCCAAACCAAGAAGACCAAACAGAGCAACCCAGAGTTATTACGTACCGCCAAGACAACAAAAATACAAAGACAAAGGATAGCAAATGGACCATGGTAATTGTTGTCCTCTTGTGCCAATAAATTATGTGTACCTTAGTTCCGGCAGGGCTAAAATACAGGTCAGAGTACAAGTCACCACGATACAGATAAATGAACAGCATTAAACAGCATTACAAGTGTCTCCTGACACTTTTCTCTTAACAAAATGCTCTATTAGATCGAGGGGAATCTGTGTGGTTTGTTAATTTATCGATGGAGCAGTGACCTGTACTCTTGACCTGTGGAATGTGACTTGTACTTTAGACCTGCCACCTTAGTCCTGCTTATAGTAATCTGGCAAAGACGATACACCCCAACTGCTCCCGAAATGATATATATTTCTATATCATTTCTGCGTAGAAGGTTTACGCTTTTTGAATTCTAAAAACTAGATAAGCCCCTCTTTTAAACCCTGTCTACACTAGGGCGTTTTTGCTTGAAAACGCGTGCGTTGTAACTCGTTTTTGCTTTGCGCCCAAACTAAAACAGGCAATAATCGAAGTTTTCGAAAACAAATCTTTTTGAAAGCGGGGGGTTTTTGAAGACGTTCTCAAAGGGAGACGTTTGAGAACAGAGATGTATCGTTTTAGTTTGGACGAGTGAAATAGAAAGTTTTCAAAAATCCTAACGTTATAGCTACTGCACGACCCGTATTCGTCCATGACCAAGCATTACTACGGAGGAAACTGAAACCAACAAGTTCGTTAATAGCCAATCGTAAGTGGCAGGTGCCGGTTTCTTTTTGATTAATTTTTATAGAGTACGCGAGGACGTTTTCGATGGCTTTTAAACGATGTGAAAACGCTTTTGTGGACGTATAGCGTTTGATGCGTTTCTGTTAATGCGAAAACGCTTTAGTTTGACGGGGCTTAAGTACATTATTTATATCAGGAAAGGTAGTATTTGTAGTATTTTATGTCCATAAGTCCCATTTCTTGGTTTTGCAGCGGAGCATCTCCTTAAAGAGAACAAAAGGGAAGGGAGGGGTGGGATGGTAGTTTCCCAGAATCCATACTGATCTTTTCTGGATTGGTACAAGATTCTTTGGTTTTTTAGGAAAGAATGCAAATCTTTCGGTTGATCTTGAAGAAAACAGAACAAATTCTTTTAGAGTAAAAATATGAAAATATTTTGATTGTAAAAGTTTCGTTAAATGTTTCTTTATAAGAAGAACAAATTATGGTGGGAATTTACGACGTTTGAACGATATTTTGAAAATGTATTTTTGTCCTCCATTTTGTTGTTGTAAAGTTTGTCTCCGGCTTAACGGATGAATACAAACTCCATTTGTATTTCAAACATTATTTTGCTCAAAAGTCGGTTATCAGAAGCCCTAAATTGTCCCTTTTTTGTTATGTTTGGCCTAACGTAGAATGTTGAATGTCTGCTTTTACAAATTAATTTAAGACTACTAGAACGTGCTTATCGTCTGGCAAGTGTTATCTTCTTTTAGTAGATACCTTACGAAACTACGACGGCAAAGGCAACATCAAAAAGCAATTGGTTTAGAGAGCAAAACAGCAACTCTGCACGTGCATCACGCTTTTCGTACATTTCTTTGCCGTCCGTGCACAACTACGATGTGAGGACGGGAACGGCAAGGCGATAAATTCTACCATCTCTGTCTGAACTCGGGTGCGGCCCCCTCTCTTCAGTTCCAACCTAAATTCCCTTCTTAAGTAACAGGGCGACTTGGGAAAATCGCGAAATGGTTTGAAAGAATGCGGAGTCCATTTGTCAGTGACGTTTTCATGGACGTCGCCGTCATCGGATCGTAAGGTCCCTAATGGCAAACCAAGCTATTGCGCCTTGTTCACTCTTTTTGCTTTAAGCTTTTCTCGTGTTATCCCAGGATCTTGTTTGGTTAATCGTCGAACTTCACATATGACACATGTATATGACGAACCCAATACCAATGAGCAAAATCTATTGTTTTCGCTCATAAGCATTGGGTTATTGCTATTATAACCTTTACTTTAAGAGGGTGACACGAATTACTATGAAAAGTATTCTCCCTAATGGCCTTCTACAAACAAAACTGATAATAATAAATTACAACAATTCATGCCATGAAAACTCTGACGATGGATTCTGACCTTAGTTACATAATTTTAGTCGCCTCATGATTAGTAGAGGAGACAGGTTATGAATACCCTGGGTGCCAGAGACTTTTCTAGCGCCGTTTCCTGTTTCTGTCAAGTCTTTATTGTGACCCGCGCGTTTTTTCGCGGCTTCGGCCTACGACCGAAGATGTGTCGGCCTTCAGCCAACACCGAAAATTCCCGTCGCACGCGAGAAAAACCTCTGGTACCCAGGGTAGGTTATGAAAGGTGGCAAACATCAAACAGGGAAACAAAGGTTTTGCAGCCCCTCGGAGATTGCGTAGTCCTTTTGGACCTTTCTCCCCTCGCAATTTCCGTTGCCCTTCGTGAGGGAGGCTGGGGGGTGTTTGGAGTTGGATAATTTCTGGAACTATACACATTTTTCTTTTGTCTGAGCAAAATGGTTGACTCACTGCTGAGCGCTTGTTTGCGTGGCTTATATAACAAACACACTTAACTCGGTTTCCGTCGGCGCAAGTCTCTATTTGAACCGAAGTGATTTAAGAGGAAATATTTCTAACTAGTTAAATATTTCTTCAGAAGTTAAATATTTATTGGTAAAAAATTCTGACACGGTTGTTCTTCCATGTATGGAGATTTCAAAAGCTATCGAATACGCACCATTGAGTCAAATAGAAAGATTTTACAAAGAAAAACGAAGTTGATTAGAAAATGATTCCTGTATTCTACGTTCAGGAATCAAAACTTCCTGGCGAAATTTTATCGCTTTATTTATCACTCCTTATTGTTTGTTTTGTTTTTCGTCTGTAAAGAAAATAGATCAAGGGTATATACAAACTTTAATGCTCAAATGTTTTGTTTAAGGTACAATCAACCTCAGCCCGCTAATTTGTTGTTCAAGATTCAGTTCCTTCAGCGCGTCTCTCTTTAGGCCACTTCCGAGTTCCAGAAACCTTCACTTTCAAAATGAGGCCAAGTGCATAACCTTTCTCTTGAAAATGAGTTTTATTTGCATGAGGATGAAAATCATTTCCATATCAAACACTGACCACTAACACTAACTTCGTTTTGATACAGAGAGCCCGGGGGAACTCGGGAGTGGCCAATTACAACCGATGATAATTATGCGAAAGGGTTAGACTAAAAAAATACATTGCAAAAACTGGCTTTTTTCAACTGAGTTGACAGAGTCAGTTTGCCTCCGTTTAATTGTCTGTTCAATCGCGGGTTTAAATAATTTAATGTTATTTTCGCAGTATAGGTCTCTAGAACAACCTGTTAAGTGGTTATCTATGTTATGCATATTATGATTGTCATTTGTGAGGTCGTTGATTTCTGTTTCTGTTTACGTCAGTACGATGGGAGAAGGAAAGAAAGGCTCTTTTCAAAACCTTTCTTGGTTCTTCTATTGATGAATTTGCCAGAGGTCACCTGATTTGTTTTTAGTTCAGGGCCATTCAACTTTAATATAATACATTATTAGATCTAAATACAATAGTTTATAATTACTTTTCTTGAAAAATGTTTACTGATATTTTCAATTATTTCCTTTTTTTTTCAAATTAATGTTCCTTTTTTCTCGTTATTTTTGTCTTGTTTCAGTAAAAGCTACGTAGTTACTGTGGGAGTCTTTCCTCTGTATTTAGATTTATATTTATTGTCTGTAAAATTAATAGCAATAGTAACAATAATAGTAATAGTATAAAAATAAAGCAACATTTTATTGTTGAAACTTTAAAAAATGTGATTACTTAAATCAACTTGAGCCCTTCTTTTAAGCAACTCTTATTTTTACAGCTTAGACAATTTTTATTGCTTTTTAATGAATTTGTATACTTTGCGGAAACTTATTTAAGCAATTCTACTGATTAAAGCTCTCGCAAATTTCACCACGTTTATTGACCATCAGGTCAATAAACGGGTATGGATATTCAAAACTTGATGTATATGAAAGGATAGGAAAATCTGTCATTTAGAACTTGTCTGGCCATTGCGAGAGCTGAATAAACGTAATGTTTTTCGGTTAACATCTTTTCCGGTAAGTCTTGTTGCTTGCTCTATCATTTACTAACGCCAATTCAAGGAATCACAAGCGGGCCGGAATCCTAATCTCCTGGCTGTTATTACGCATGCGTCGCATGTATGTAACTGTTGTGGTTTAATTTTATCCTTGATTTAAATTTTATTTTCTTTTGTTTTGGGGTATGTTAATGTATGACAATGAGATTGAAACAAAGAAAAATAAAATTAAACCAAGGATAAAACAATCCACAACATAACCAGCATTCATTTGGAGTTCCACTAAGAATGAATGGAATGCACAGAAAAGAATCTGATCACGCGCGTTTTAGCCTGCGTTACAGCTGGCCCACGCACTCGTCTAAACCGTTTGTATAGCTCTAAATAGAACGTTTAGAGACGGACCATTAGAAAACTTTTGGTGGGGGGACGGGCGAAGTACAAAAAATAATCGCGCAACGGAAAATTAAATGAAAAAAATTCTTGCACGCTAGTTAACCCTAAAAAATATTCATGCTATGGTAAAAAAAAATTCATGCAAGGAATTTGATAACGAAAAAAATTCCTGCGGCTCGAAAATTCTCCCCCCCCATAACTTTTCTAATGGTCCGTCCCTTAGAGCGTCTGCGACGCAGGCTAGCGCGTTTGGACCTTCCATTAATCGTAACATTTTGATCTTCTATCACGTGAAGCCCCCGCGTAATTAACGTTTTGACCTTTGAACAGCCAGAAAGTCGCCCGCGCTACCTAACCTTTGGTTATTACAAATACGTTATATCAAAGGGGTACCATGCATTTTTAAATAGAAGGCATACGAAAAGAGAGCAGGATTTAACAATTAGTTCATGCGTCAGCGTGCGTATGTCGAGATATTGAGCACGCGGGAAGTTTGGAGAGCACGAAAGAGGCGTAAGAGTTGCACGAGGCGCAGCCGAGTGCAACTCTAGCCTCTTGAGTGCTCTCCAAACTTCCCAAGTGCTCAATATCTCGACATACGCACAGCTGCAGCATGAACTAATTGTTTTATAACATTATCAAAGCGATCAATGCAGCAGTTAACTGAAAATTTTATTATTGAAGGGCGCGCTCAAAGCAGTACGCGTCAATGTTTACGTGAATATATCTTTTTTCCTCACAGTTAATCTTATGTTTTTATCCTGAAACTGAGAGAAAGTGTACTCTAAAATGATTGTAAAATCCATATTTAGGTGTCGGAAAACTATTAATTTCCCGAAAAATTGTTATTGAGAGAAAACAACTTTGCAAAGAATGAGCTCACGCCATAGCCCGCACAGCTCGCGGAGATGACAACAACAACAACAACACTCACCTCTTTTCCTTACTATCGGTTAACAAATTCAAACGTTTCCTCTTAAATTTCTTTACAAAACACATGGTAAACGCTTCATTGTCTATTGCTGAGTTATGGATTCACTCAGGAGACTCAGGATTGCTAAGCTCACAACAACTCGAGGAATTACGAATAGTTTATTGACGTCATCAGCGTGCTCAATAGGAATATGAAGCACGCTCGCGCTATTGAATTTGATTAGGCGAATTTTCTAGCTATGTTATAAAAGGGGTTAGCAAAGCCTCCAAGTTTGAAACCATGATGAGTGCACCCCTCGCCCTTCCCTCATCCCCAGTGTAATAAAACGGAGAGCTTTTCTGTCAAAATGGCATAGATATATCTAGCCGGAGTTTTGAAAACTATACCGCCAAGTGGAGCTTTTGCGTCCAACAGTTTTTTTCGGCC